TTTGATATACACCTGTACAGTAGTTTGTCAGTTGCTGTTGCTGGCCAGTGAATGCATATTCAACAAGAAATAAGAAATGGTGATCGAATACCAAGAGTGTGTTAAGTTTAATCAACTCATGTGTTGCAATTGTGGAGTACCAGCAAAATATGCAATGTATGAGACTCTCGGTGCGGCATTTTTCCTTTAGTTAATTTGCTACTTTTTTTTAAAGACTGACAATTTATTGTCTGATAGGATGTATATGCATTCATGAAAATAAAATATAGAAAGAAGAATTGTCAACAATCCAGAAAAATATACTGTTTATATTGCTCATTAAATTTTGAATGAAAAGTTATGATCCATAAAAAAGATACTGTTTATACTGCTCTATAAATTTTGAAAGAATTTGTTGTTGTTGTTGTAATAACTGAAAAAAAAGAAAAAAAATATCAGTCAATGGACATAAGTTTGATACTTAAAATACCACTTGTCTAACAATTTCTTTTTCACAATGCAATGAGTCATTGAAAAGGGTGAATATCTCTTCTATCGGTACTTTATTTTGGAAAGCTGAGATTTTGCCAAAGACTGCTGGTCCGTGACACCTTTGAATCACTGGAGGTCATTCACCTCTGAAGCTGTGAGCTGGTGTCTAAGCTGGTGGAAAGGGGGAAGGAGGGGGCCCAGGGGAGATAGGTGAGACAGGCACAGTGAGCTATGGGGTGTTGTAGGAATAAGGGGGGGGGGGGGTAGTTTTGGACCCAAGTTTCATATAATACTGTGGAACTGCTAGATAATGTGCACTGCGTTTTAACTTTTTTAGCAGATTTTGATTCAAAGGAGTGGACACCATGAGATACTCTGCTCTTGTGAATTACTTGACCAATTAAACAAAACCCAAGTATATCACATCATCCCCCCTCTCTCTCTCTCTCCATGATGTTATGCAATACAATTTGCTGATTTCTACAGTACCAGCTACTCTTCAAGGCTTTGAACTTTTTGAAAAGTTTGATAGTGATATAGTAATAGTTAAGTTTATGTTGTTTGGTGCAGGTTTTCGAAGCTGGAAATTTGGCTGGTGTTCAAAATCAAACAGCACAGCAATCATTGCTCCATGGAGCATGTGTTATAGAACCAGTTGCACTTTGCGTATGGTACAATGTAGGGCAACTCATGTTGTCCCAACAACCGCACTCACTCGATGGGTCGCAGTCTTGAGTACTTCCACCAAGACTGACTTACCTCCCGTTGGTGTGAGCGACTAAAGAACGGTTGGAGGTGAAAGTGGATGCCGGTTCCTTCACCCCATCAAACCCCATGACAGACGGCCGGCCATTGTAGTCCTGTTGACGATGTTGAATAGGGGCTCTGAGCCTTGTTGCTTGCATTGCTATTGTTTGGGAGGAGATTTTGCGGTCGGGCAGGGGGGAAATTCTGAGACATATTAGCGGAGGTGAAATTACGTAGCTTGCACGGGAAAAAAAGAATAACAAGAGTGAGAGACAGATTGAGATAGATAGAGAGAGAAAGGGTGAGAGGGAGGGTGAGAGAGAGAGAGAGAGAGAGAGAGAGAGAGAGAGAGAGGGGGGGGGGGGGGAGAGAAAGAGTCCTGGAGTTTCGGGAAGGCATTGCCTAGGATTGCATACATTCAGACTTGTGGTAGTGGGTCTAATCAGATACTGTATATATCAGGAAGAAGATACTCGTATATACTAATGACAAGAAGACAGAAAAATTCAAAGACACGGGAGCTTTCTAGTTAAGCTTCTCAGTGGAGCATAAATTGCAGTAAAGAATGATCAGAGTTTTACTACCATTGCAACAATCACCAAATGCAATCGAGTGAAATTTAGTATAGCTTCAATTCATTTATTGTAGCAAATAGATTGAATTATATCAAATAGATTGAAGCAACAGTAACACTATGGACAATTGTAGTTAAAGGTAAAGACCAGTTATGGTCACGCGATTGCATTGTGAAAGAAACGTTGTGGAATCGATCAGAAAAGGTTGATCATCTAGCATCTAGCATCTGCAAGTTTCTGGAATCATCAAAATGATAAGAAATTTGGCCCATTCTTCGTAAAGTTACAAGCACTATACACAGAAAGATGTATATGGGACTACCCTATATCTCTCACAGACCATGAGAGAAACAAATTTACCAAATATATGAATTAGTAGGCAGTTTCCCAGCAAATTTTGTATCATCATGTATTAGTCAAAACATATTCTTTCACATGATTGGTAATGAGAGCTTCCATTTCATTTTTTGAAATTGGGGCGTTTCCAATACTGGTCTTTACCTTTAAACTTTCCAAATTGTCTGCTGAGAGCCTAAAGGGCACTAACTCTCATATTTCAACACAGAGTTAATGTCCTTCTGGTTCCCAACAGATGATATAGATATTTCCCCGTCCTGAAAACCAGAAAGGTTTTAAAAAAACTGTGTTAAAGTATATCGGTTGAAGTTCTTTTGACCCTCAACAGACGTCACTTTCGTGATTGAAAGTGTTCATCACTCCAGTGTTGTAATCCTATAACTCTTATTCAAGTTGTTACGGATAGCAGTCGTAAGGGTTTAAATGCGTTACAAGCTTATTGGATTATCAGTGCTTTATAAAGAGGTTTTCATGGAGGGAGTGAGTGGCAGAATGGAAAAGGGGGCTACTACAGGTCAAAGCTGTATTTTTAACACTCAGATTGTGTCGTCTCTTTAGCTCTCAAGAAGTATAGAAGGCAGTAATGATGAGGGGGAGAGACAGAGACAGACAGACAGACAAAGAGAGAGAGAGAGAGAGAGAGAGACAGAGAGAGAGAGAGAGAGACAGAGACAGACAGACAAGTAGATAGAGAGACAGACGGACAGACATAGAGATGGAGAGAGAGAGAGAGAGAGAGAGAGATGAAGAGGGGGATTGAAAGGGACTTAAAAGAGCACTTCTAGCATATAATATGAACCTTTACAAAAATTTGAAATGAAAAGTTTTGAGAAAAACAATTTAGAAATAGATTACCTTTATTCCTATAAAAGACATAAGTCCCTCAAATTATCACTTCTCTCGTAAAAATCACTCTATTTTTTGTAAGCAAATGCCCTTTTTGATGTTAGCCAAAATAAATGCTGCTTCGTTTTATTTCTCCCTTCAAAAGCAGTCCAGTTTCCCCGCTCCTTTTTGTCCAATTTACCAATAATAAACTATCGGTATTGACACAAAATCACATAGCAACATTTTTTTGCCATTTCTAAATCAGTCTATATACCTTGACCAAGACAAAGAAACTGACAAAGTGTACTTCTCTGCCTCTGACATTCTCCACTAATGAGCCTCTGAGTTCTACAAAGGGACCTTCCGTTTGAAAAAGCATTTTTCCTTTTGAGGCGGGAGCGACAGAAATGATGGAATCACTCGCAGAAAGTCAGGGAGTTGAAGAAAGTTACCCTCAAATCAGGCTGTTACAAACCTTTCTCTTTTCTTCAATCTCTATGTAATGTAATGAATTTAGGCTTTGCAATATCATATCAAGGCTTAAGAATTCTGACCCTCCCCCCCCCCCCCAATAATTTCTTTTAGCGGCTTTGACAATCGGCACTCCCTTTTGATATCATTTTGCAGTGGATTTGATGAAGATTTGGTGTATTTTTATAGAATATATCTACAAGGTTTGAAATTTGAGAATCGCAGTTGTTCGTCTTGTCCCATAGAAAGCAGATGTTCTTTGAAATTTTGTCGCGGTTTCAAAGAAAAATAGTTTGTTAGACAGGAGCTCTTGGTAAAAGAGAAAGGAATTCTCACCTTAGCTCTTCTCTGTTGCAAACCTGTAGATGTTGAAGGTTTGTTCCAAGAAAGGACATACGCTCTAGACTCTTTGCCAAAGTATCTTCTGAATATTGAAGTAAAACTTGTGCCAGGAAATTGAAGTTCTTTCAAGAGAGAATATATATATATACCGGTACCATATATAGCAAAGGACATTTCCCAGCTTGGACTATTGTAATCAGTTGGAGCTAAACCGAAGGTGTTAAAATAAGCGATTGTCCAGTTTTTCATGAGAAAGAATACATCACTGTGGGACTCATAACGTGGTTCCTTGCTGTCAGTTGCAATTGAGTGTGGGGACATAAACTCTACAGTTCTCTCCAAAATTGGGAGAGCCATAAATACTAGGAAGATCTTGGAGAATCAAAATGGAAGATCAACTAGCGAGCAACCTGACGCTCTGCTGTGTGATGACTGTCACTGACATGGTAATCATGGGAAATCTGTTGAATAAGTGATGTTTGTGGGCCATTCTTCTGAGATGGCCCAGCAGAAGGGGATACTAGCTGGCCCCATACAAGAAGCCATCATCATCATCATCAGCAGCAGCAGCCATTAAATTCTACTCTTCCCAGATACAGCTATTTTATGAAGCTGTGTTTATACTAAGCCTTTATCCACATTTGCTACTTTAAAAATCTTTTAACGCTTTCTTGATGCAGTTCTCTACACTGATAGGAGTCCAGTGTGCAAGGGCCCATTTATGTCAATTGCGAGCCCCCCTAAAATTAGTTTGTGAGGAGCCCTACTTCATACCACAGTGTGTTTGTGTGTGTTTTGTTTTTAATACACGGCTCTCATCGTCATCTTCAGCTAATAATAGTTTTTGTGAGTGTGTGTCATTAATTTGACTACTAACTACTGCATCTTAAGCTGGAGCAAATAATCTAGCCTAGACTCATGTAGAGGTGTTGTGGTCTAGTGGATAAGTCGTCAGACTGTGGATCACAGGGTCCGCGGTTCAAGTCCTGCCGCAGCACTAATGTCCTTTGGCAAGACATCAATCTACATTTGCCACTCTCCAACCAGGTGTTATATGGGTACAGATAGGAAGGAATTCCTTGAATGCTGTGAGTGCCGAAATCGGCAGCCAAGCCGAGCCGGGTAATATTTGAAGCGCCTTGAGCACCTTGCATGGTGGATATGTGCGCTATATAAATATCTAAAATTATTATTATTATTATTATTATTTAAAAAAACTTTATAATGTTTAGCATTGTATTAACCTATTTCTCTATTTCTCTTCTCTCTTTCTCTCTTGCTCTGCAGGGCCAGAAGATGCCTGTGCTTCATCCCGGGGCGTATCCACCCTCCCTAGCCCAGCTGATGATGTACCAGCAGGAACACTACTCACACTCACCGGGGACACCCCCTCCTCATGTCAGAGGGCTCGAGGTCGATTCCAAGACAGGTGAGTCAGTGGCGTAGCTACAGGGGGCAGGGAGCATGTGCCCCCAATCCAAGTTTTGAGATACACAGGGGCTTGGGGCGAATTAGCCCCAGAAATGCCCCAAAGAGCCCCCAAAAGTCATAAAAAAGCCCCCCAAAATTTGCATAGAGTTAAACTCAATAACAAATTAAAGAGTGTTATTTTCATGCAAGCAAGCTTGAAAAGTTAGCCCCCAAATTTTTTAAATATTTTTTTTCCCTACCCCAATCAAAGGGGGGAGGGAGACAAAAAGGTTTTCCACCCCCTCTACTAATGGCCATTTAGCATTAACGTTTTTCTGTTTGGAGCCTGAAGGAGACTAAGTCATATTTTTTACATAGAGTTAACGTCCTTCTGGCTTCAAACAGACGATGTCATCGGCAGAGGAAGAAGGTCCATTCCCCATTGATGCCAGCCCCCCCCCCCCTCCCGCAATATTCTGATCCATATGCCACTGCAATTCAGGTCATATTTGGTATAGGCATGGCTGTGGTTGTACATTTTAGGTTCTAAATTTTAGGTATTAAATCTTATCACAGAATGCAGGGTCAATGCCCCTTCGCCTCTCATCAGATAAACTATCAATTATTATTGTTACTATTAATATCTGTATATATTTAGAACAAATTATTATTTATTCATTTTTTACTTTTTACACATATTATTAAGATCCCTGAATTGCTGCACATTATAATGATGTGTTATTTTTTCACTTTAACCAAGCTCAACAAATTATTCTTTGTCCTCCTCCTCCTCCTCCTCCTGCAGGTATCCTGAGACGGAGCCACTCCGAGATCTCACCGTATCATCCACTGTCTCCGAGCTCCTTGGGAACACATCCTTTAGAGGTCTACAACATGTCTTGGTAAGACCAAGATGATACAGCATTTGCAATGGCAACGATTGCTTTTGCCGTTATTTGTCAAAGATATAAGGCGTAGCGTGCAACTGAGTTGTAGGTTTAGGGTTAGGATGATGGTTAGGTATTGTGCTTAGCCCATAGTTGATGTTAGAAATTGAACTAGTTTTAGAAAGAGACCACAAACCCAGTTCACGAAGCCTTTTTTCAATGACAAATGACAAAAATCAGTGACAAATCTGCTGATAACCAATCAGAAGCAAGGATTTCAGTAGCTTATAACAAGAATTGTCAGTTGTCACTGATGACAAGTTTTGTGAAACACCCCCCTGGAGCCAGCATTGCTTAGACATCTGAAATATATTTAGGCTTAGGGTGCAATATGGTTTTAGGCTAGTTTATTTGAGCTAGGGATATGGATGCTCATCGCTAGTTACCTTATTTCAATTTGTATTCAGTTTTCATGAAAATGTCAAGATTCTGACCAAATAATTTGCTTGCTTTATGACTATCACAATATTCTTATAAAAATCATTCACTTTGCGATCCAAACTCCTCCCCAAACTCTTTCTGATGTTCATTCAAGAACTAAATCTTTAATAAAATAATTACACATCTAAGTCCTTCTTCTCGATCCACTCATTTTGGTTTCCTCCCCGTCCTAGCTATGTGGAGCACATACGTCTTTTCCACGTGAAGGCACGCAGGCTTGATTGCGCTTCGCCACAGCGTGATGATGCGTGGCAAGTGAAGCGCGGCAGCCCCGTTCCACAACCGGTCAAGAAATGGGCACAACTCATCAGTCAGAGGAGAAGCCTGGCCAGCCGCCTGCGTAATGCGCATTACGCACACTTCACACGCTCATACCAAGCTACTATGTCTTGGCCTAACATACACTCAAAACTCATCATCTTTCATCTTTGTCTTTCCTCTTGCCTTATTTCCTATTCACCCTCTTGGTTGCTCTCTCTTTCTCTGTCAAACTCGACCTTTTTTCTCGTAACCTCTGTCCACCTCTCTATCTTCTTTTGCTTCCTTGTCCCCCCTCCTCTCACTCTCCTCTTTCTATCCTGCCCCCCTCTCTCTCTCCCCTTTTCATTTTGTTCCCCACGTCTTTCTCCACCTCTATCTCTTTCTCTCTAGTCTTTCTATCTCTCTCTACCCTTGACTGTATTTCTCTTATTACAGTGAATCTCTATTTGTCATCTCATATCTTATCTACTGTGAGTCTCTCGCTGTCTCTCCCTCTCTTTCCCCTCCCTCTGTCTCTCTCTGTCTCTGTCTCTCCCTTTCTTTCCCCTCCCTCCCTCTCTCTCAGTCTCTCTCCTCTCCAACTCCACCTCCTATCATCTTACCCTACCTACAATCCTCTGCCCCAATCTCCATGATCTAACTTCATCCATGTATCTTCTAAATGTTGGCTTGTGACAAAAGCCCCTCTGATCTCCCATCTCTCTCTTCAGCTCTCTCTCTCTTTCCCTCTCTCTTTCTTCATCTCCCTTTTTATACAACTCTCTCTTCATTCCTCTCTCTCTCTTCATATCTCTAAATTAAAATAGATTTGCCTCCATGTGATTTTTCTCTTGGGGGGGGGGGGGGGGGGCATTTCACAAAACTTGTCATCAGTGACAAATGACAGTTTTTGTTATAAGCTACTGAAATCCTTGCTTCTGATTGGTAATCAGCAGACTTCTCTCTGATTTTTGTCATTTGTCTGTGTAAAAAGGCTTTGTGAAACAGGTCCCTGATCTCAATCTTTTGATAAAGCCTTCCTCCATTGCTGCATTTGGCAGATTTTGTGGGTGGAATCACTGGAATTGGTGATTTCAAATGCTGATCAGCTTCCTGCTTTGAAAGATGTTATGATATTACTATGTGTAATATTTTTGCGTTGTGGTTTGAGCTTTGTTTTCCTGAACCTCTGTGCTAGCTAAAACTTGACTGGAAACATGCTTGTGGAAATGTGAGTGCAGCCTTCAATACTATCTGAGCTATACATGGACATTATTTTCGTAAGATTTTGAAACCCAGAATTTTGTTGATCTTTTGTTTCTTCATTTTGAATTTCCAAACTTCTTGGCCATTTTCCATTTGAGATGTCTTTCGTTTCGCTTTTCCTTCTGAATCTTATGAGGATGCATTCACAAAGTTCTTCCTGCTTCCTCTCTTCTCTTTTCTCTCATTCATCCTCCTTCCCTCTCCTCCTCCATCTTCTCCCTCCTTTCCTCCCTGCCTTCCTCCCTCTCTTTCTCTCCCTCTCTCTCTTCCCCTCTCTCTCTCCCCCCTCTCTCTCTCCCCCTTCCTCGATCTCACTTGATCTCTCGCTCCCCACCTCCCTCCTCTTGCTATAACCCTGCTGCCTCCCTCCTCTTTCTTTGGAATATGAAGTCCTTGCTCAGTCAACCATACCATCTATGTGAATGGCATGGCATTGTGACAGCACACTAACACCATCTCCATCTCGCCCCACCCCCTCCTCCGTCCTCCCATGATTCAACTCCACCCTCATCCATTCCTCTTCTCTACTATGTAGCATTTGTTCATTGCTCAAGTAACCGTGCATCCATGTGAAATCGTGAATCACTGTGAAGGTACAATGACTCCATTCCATCTCACCCCCCTCTCCCCCTTCCCCTCCCCCTCCTGTGATACAACCCCGCCCTCGTTCTTCTGGACTATGTAGCATTTGTTCATCGAAGCACAAGGTCCATGACGGTGCTTTGACACCGACTTCTCATCTTCACCCCTTTGCGGAGAGGGGGCTTGCTGGAGGAGGTGATGGTGGAAGAATAGATTAGCATGAGAGAAACAGTGGCCAAGACCACACCAGGCAGCCTTTTACCTCTACCTACTAATTATCCTCCTCCTCCTCTCCATCAGTTTGTCTCTCTTCCACTTTCTCCATCCACTCTTTCTTTCTTTTTCTCTTTCTTTGTGTCTCTCTCCCACTCTCTCCCCCTCTCTCCCCCTCTCCCTGTCTTCCTCTCTCCCTCCCCCCTCTCACATCTTCCCCCTCTCTTCCCCTACACTGACGTTGATCGGTAGCCGCCTGGCAAGCCCCCGATTTCACGGGTATTTGGTGCGGTTGGCACCTCCCGTAGTTTTCAATCATAATCTTTGGCGCGATCGTCAACCTTTCACCGCGCCAGCACACTTTTCTTCCGAGTCCGGGGAACATTAAAACAAGGGGATGTGCACTTTTTGTCCCTGTCTGCTTATAGAATGGTAAAGGTTATTGCAGCGGTCTAGCGGTCTTATCAAAATTCCTTTTTCTTCCCCTGCTTCCTCGAATCCCGGGAAGCCGATTAATCGTGCGAGTTTACATTCCATGATCTTGACGAACCGCCCTCTTTTCTGTGAAGCACAAAATTATACTTCATCGAGAACATGATATGGGCTATATCAAGAGATGAACATAACCATGTTAGTCTCAATACTCTTTTGTTTTTGTGTGTGTGTACACATACACTTCTTTTTCGCAGGGCATAGATATTACTTTGCTCATTTAATTTGTTGTGAATACAAAATCATACTTTATATGCATTTTAACTAGTGTTGAAATACACATTGCATATGTTATGACGTAACGAGGAACCACATTTTCATCAGCCATTTCAGCTAGTTCATGGTCTCCCATTACCAGTTAGGCATTAACTTATGTTATACCCTTTAAATATGTTATACCGGTATATGTTTTTTTCAGGAATTGTAATGCTTTTACTGTTGTGTGCCTCCATCCCGATTCTAACCCCCTCCCCCCCCCCCCAGATAAATGATATCTAATCGACACATCTTCATTATTCTCATTTTTATTCTGTTCCCCCCTCTCCAGGCCAGGCCAACCGTTCTACCCTCTCACCAGCAGTGCACTGCGGTCCCCCTACCCTCCCAGCCTAGCCGTCAGCCCAGCCAGCATGGCACGCCTGGGCCCCTCGCCCATCGGCGCCGGTCCAATACCCGTGGGTAGCCTTCCACACTCCCTCATGCACCCCATTGGGTCATCTCAGCAACATGATGCACAGCAGCAGAGCAATGATAGGTAAGCTGGCCGGCAATCACCTCCATAAAAAGACCACCTGTATGTAAAGATCACTTTTTGTTTCCCCTTGAAATGATCTCATTCAAACATCATGTTAAAGGAAACCTACATACAGTCAAACCTGTCTATGGCGACCACCCAAGGGAAACACAAAAAGTGGCCTTTGTAGACAGGTTCCTTTAGTACATGATTCAATGAGAAACCATTTACAAGGGAAACAACAAATGTGGCCTTTGTAGACAGGTGGTCACTAAAGCAGATTTTACTGTACATTCAAAGACCACCTGCCCACAAAGACTTTTTTTGGTTCCCCTTTGGGTGGTCTCTATACACAGGTTTTACTCCTTAATAATTTAAGTCTATGGCACCACCTATCTAAAACTTCTGTTTGAAGGTATACCCCTAAACAAAATTGTGAAGAAAAAAAAATCCAAATCAAATCGAAGGTTTTGTTATTCCACTGAAACCCATTTTTGTGTTCACCTGTGCAGAAAGACCACCTGTCCATGAAGACCACATTTTAGTTCACCTAGAACTGTTTCTCACTAAAATCTGTATTCAAGTTACCCATATATGAAGACCCCCTGCTTGAAAAGACCACTTTTTCTTTCCTCTAGCGAGCAGTCTTTATAGACACGTTTGATTGTATTTTAAATGACAGTTTAAAGATCACTAAAGGGAAACAAACAAAAGTGAATACAGAATGCCACAATACATCACAAAATAAACATTGCAAACGTGATTGACTTTATGGCTTACATTCCAATGATGCCTCTCGGACATAAGAACTGCTTATGATAATTAATTTTAATGACTCCCCAGCAATATTCATTATTAAAATTGAAAATTGCAGGTAGTTGCAATTTCTCAATAACCTTTCCTTAGAAATATTAATGAGGTGAACAACACTTGAAAGTAAGGGTAACATTCTGTTAAAGTATACAGAATCATGATTAATAAGACATAATGAGAAGACAAACGGTTGGATACATCAGTATATTCTTCAACAGGCCAAGATTTAGTTTATCGTTGCAATTCAAATGTCAGACATCGCAATATATATAATTGTCAACATTAAACTTTGATTTTTTTTAGCTTTGCATGATATATTGCAGGATGAAAGACACTTCATTTCTGATAAACTAGCTTGTAAACAAGTCTGATTATGGTATGTGTACAATCTATCATTCTACATAAATCTGTAGAATGGAATTGATAGTCTGACTAATACATCTCTCAGATTGGAAATAAAGATTGACCTTAACAATCTCGTCCAATCAGCAATAATTCACCTCAGCGGAATATCCAATAAGTCGGTAGTTAGCCACATACTGTAGCAATATGGTGATTTATTGGAGAGATTGGTGCTTGCCATGTTTCACAGACAAGGCTACAGTGGAAGCCACGAGGCCCAGGGCTTGAGATATGGTTACCAGTCATCATGATCAAATCATAGACAAATGAAGTAGTGGTGGCACAACCCATCTCGGGTATAATGCACCAGTCTGTGAATGAGAAATCAACTCTGAGAAACTGTCACCAGTCATCAAGAGCAGAGTGGTTACACATCCCATTTCTGGAGCAACCCCAGTGCACGAGGCATAGGGAGTAATGATCATGAGATGGGATAGGGTACCAGCTCCGTTGCCTAATTGGATCATGATTGTAGGTGGATTGGGGAGGGGAAATCCAATTGATTAAGCAACAATTGCCAAACTTGTTGTGGATAAATTTATTTCAGCGGGGAGGTGCAGTAACTCTCCACCTCAACGCGAGGCATCGTTCGCTCGTTGTCTCCACGCCACTCGATTGATAGGATTACCGTCTTTAGTTTCATCCAATAATATTGGATTTCGCTACATAAACGTCACCTGTCGTTTGTATGGACCGTGTCATGAAGCCGACTGAATCACAAATGCAAAGAGAGGCCCGTTAACATGGTCTGGCATTCCAGCTTTAATGGCATGATATCGATGAAATAGAATCCTGTAAAGGATATTGCAATCTGTAGACAGCAAATAATTGTCCATGGATATTTCCTGAATTGCAGATGAGAAACAGGAAATAAAAGTCATGCATAAAATGAAAGTAAAATTGCTATGATCATATAAATTTAATGCTTTGCCTCATTTAAATAATTCAAATTTCCAGGGTTGATCAGACACTATTTTATTTTTATTTTTGTGTGTTGGGGGGGGGGGGGGGAGGGGGTCGCTGCAGGAGTCAGAGGGATGGGGTTGGGGGAGGGAGATGGGCAAGATGGGACCCATTGTAGCTAAGCACAGATCTTTATTGGCAGAGCATAATAATAGAAGGGTCCTGGTACACATGGGCTAATACATTTTAAATTTAGGGGGGGGGGCCCTAATTGGGGCCCAAATTTTGAAAAATCGAACAAGGGCCAGAACACACCACCCTACAAATTTAATTTTGACCTGATATATGATAAAGTAACAGGTCCTTCCAAAGGTCTTTGGTTAAATCCTGGACCCATCCATCCAAGTGAGATACATGACAACAGAGCAGATATATACATTGATAATCATACTTATATGAAACAAGAAATTAAAATTAGAAACAAGAAATGGTCACATTGATTCTTGAAATGAGAATAAAAGAGAAAAAGAAGAAAGATTATTTATTAAAATCTATTGATAATCATTTTGATCAGTTCCTTCTTGGTTCTCCAGGTCCATGTAACACGAAGCTTGGCAATTGATCGTACAATTTATTTTTGGCGATTGATTGCATTGATCACTATATGCTATCAATCACAAAAATCAATCGTACGGGCAATTTCCAAGCTTTGAGTTACGAGGCCCAGATGTAAAGATGAAAGAGGAACCAAGAACAAACACCACTCTTCTTGATAACCACCTTTGTTTCCTTATTTGTTCTCATTTTGATTTAGTTTCCTTTCTTGGCTCTTCAGGGTGTGTTTCACAAAGACTTTAATAAGATCGACTTTAGTTGGAATTAACTATGGCAGGCCATTCATGCCACTGTTTTCTCTCACCATTTACTGGCATTGGTCTCTCAAAGGACATACAAATCATGGTCACAATTCTACAGAATTTACATTTTTTGATAGTTCATTATTGAAGGAAAAAATATTATCTAAAGATCATAATGATGTGAACAACCAGCGGCATGAATGTCCTGCCATAGTTAAGTCCAACTTAAAGTCGATCTTAGTCTTTGTGAAACACCCCCCAAAGCTGTATTAAGAAGGAAAGAGAAACCAAGAACAAACCACATTCTTCATGATAATCATTTTTCCCCTTTCTTTTTTTCTTCTTGTAGGCATCAGAAGGAGAAGGAAAAGAAGCTTGCCGCCCAAGAAGCAAAGAACAAACAGCAACACATCAAGAAACCTCTCAATGCATTCATGCTCTACATGAAGGAGATGAGAGCCAGCGTGGTCAAGGAGTGCACCCTCAAAGAGAGCGCAGCCATTAATCAAATATTAGGAAGAAGGGTAAGAAACCTCCCCCTATCAAAAAGGCAACTCTGGCCCATTTGCCAGTTGAGGTGAAAAAAATAGAGAAAATTCAAAGGAATGTAACGGTGAAAGTTTTGTCAAAATCGGATGATAAATAAGAAAGTTATGGAATTTTAAAATTCCAATCGAATATTAGGAAGGAGGGTAAGAAATCAAATGCTCCTTAAATCCAGCCCATTTGGAAGTTGAATTGAATAAATAGAGAACAATGGAAGGAACAAAACATTGAAAGTTTCATCAAAATTGGATGAAGAATAAGAAAGTTATGGAATTTTCAAGGTTTGCATAATTTCATGACACTGATGTGTACCGGTAATCACATAGGGTGTATGCAAATTAGCGAGTTGATGATATCATCTCCTCGCTTTTCTCTATCCGTTTTGTTTTGTTGATTTAACAAAAATATCACTTTTCTGTTCTGGGAATGTAAAACATGGTTTGAATCTGTAAGGAATTTGTGCAAAATCACCATTACTGTTACTAATTGTGATATAATGGAAAATGTTATTGCTGGTGTAATTTGAAATTTCAAACAGGGAGTGGAGATGGTGCACATTGTGTGTGAATGAATCCAATGACCAGGGTAATCATACCTGTAAAGCGCTTAGAGACGGTACTTAAAGCTTATCTGTACTAGTTTATACGAGGGATTAGACCGCCCCGCAAGTTCACTGGACAGGTGGTTATCTCATTAACTCAGCTCTCAATAAACATAAGAAAAAGAGGATCATGGGGGACCAATGGTCACTGATTAGGCATTGTTTTCTATATAGAGGGAGCAAGTAGCTACAAGTAGTGCAGTGAGGTTTTAAGCGATATATAAATCCAAATTATCATTCTCATTATCTAAAATCTTTCTGGACTGTATTGTCTTTTCAGTGGCATGCGCTCACCAGAGAAGAACAGGCCAAGTACTATGAGCTCGCACGCAAGGAGCGACAACTTCATATGCAGCTATACCCAGGCTGGAGCGCCAGGGACAACTATGCCATACACGGCAAGAAGAAGAAGAAGAAGAGAGACAAGTCACATGGCGATAATCCAGGTAAGTTTTATACGATGAAACCTGTAAATAAAGACTGCTCAGAGGGAGAAAAGAAAAGAGGTCTTTATGGCATGTGGTCTTTATGTACAGTTTCCTTTAGTATATGTTTAAATAAGAAACCACTTTCAAGGGAAAAAGAAAATGTAGTCTTTCTATACAGGTCATCCCTAAAGCAGTAACTGTATTTTGCCTCTATTGAATATTTTTTGAGGAGGGAGGGGGGGGGGGGGGATCATTTGATTGATTAAATAAACCAGTCATGTGTTTAAAATTGGCCCATGAAATCATCAGCAGTTACCCCAAAATGCCAATTTTGGGTTGTACTGTTTTCCCCAGGTAATGCAACTGTACATAGGTTTAACAATTGAGCCGTAGAGGGCAGATGCAAAGCCTTGCCGGTCATATCACTTAATAGAGTGTCTGGCGTGTAAGAATATGTAGACTGCATGATTATTTGAACTGCAGAGGCTCATGTTAGTGTTGAGTGCTGTTGTAAGGTGTGTTTTAGAAATTAAAAAAAATATCCTTGTTTTGATTCCCAATGTTCCCTGCCTCCAGGTGAGCCATCAACACCCAAGAAGTGTAGAGCGAGGTTTGGTGTGGACCAACAAGATTTCTGGTGTAAACCTTGCAGGTGAGTCAAATAAATGCATCCACAAATCACATGTACTCGTTCTTGAAGAGTTGCTGAGAACTGTAAATTAGTCCATGTCCAATTTTAAACCCTTGACCGCTGAATTCTCTAATACCCATAGGCTGTAATATAATAGCCACCGGATCTCATAGGCAGTGGCTTAAGATAACATGAATGGTGACAATTGTATGAAACCTATTTAGAAACTACTCTTCTAGTTATGATAATATCCATAAATTTAGAGTTATTCCTACTACGGTGTGAATGGGTTATCTTTTTTTTCTTCATTGAAGTTGAAGATTACTTTTACTTTGATAAATGATGATCATATTACTTAAAACTTACAGGGATGTATTTAAACAGTAGGCTTGTGGATGCACCATGTGAGAGAGAGGGAGGATTGAGGAGTCCTGAAAAAGACTCTCTGTAATCTTTCTTGAGGGGGATGTATTTAGTTGCATGTTACGAGTAATCCATTGACAGTTTAACCACTAAGGGCTTTGATACATGCAAGACAACTCTTCTTTAATTTCATCAAACTAACCGATCAATTGTTCATCATCTGTATTTCTGTGTTTCGTCATTCATCAGGAGGAAGAAGAAGTGCATAAGATACATCTCATCTGATGAGAACGACCACGGAAGGAACGATGATGATATGGATGACGATGACATGGACGACGACCAGTCGGACACCAGCCCCAGTCAGCCACCTCCTCTCGACCCAGACCAGCCAATACCATCGCCCCTATCGAGGATGCCCCATTCTCCAGTCCATCGACCTCACCAGGATGCCATGGTCTCACCGAAGCAGAACGGCATCCATCCTGTTTCATTAAGCCGTGTGCTCCCTCATCCGATCAGCAGCAGCGGTCGGAGTAACAGCAACGGACACAGTAGTAGCTTTCAGAGCAACGGTGAGCCCCCGACATCCAAAGGACCAAGCGCATCGTCATTGTCATCATCATCCTCTGCATCGTCGTCATCGGCCGGAATGTCGCATTCGTCCACCAGTTCATCCCACAAGGTTCCAAGCCATAGAGACAGTCATTCGGCAAGCCACTTGAGCCAGTCGAGTGTGAACAAGCCTGCCGAAACGAGTCGTCCGCTCTTCTCGCCGCACTTACACACGACGTCGTCGAGCGGGCCGGGCACGTCGGCATCGATATCATCATCTCTTTCACATTCTACTCTCAGCATTCCGTCGCTGTCGTCTCAGCACATCTCCCACCACTCACAGCAATCCCTGGCAGCACAGACGTCGCCGACCATCGTTCACTTACCTCACCCGTCGGCGGCGTCCTACCCGTCTCTTTCGAGTGCAACGTCCCCCATGGTCATGTTCTCGCCGCAGGCATCGTTGCTGGGCCACCATCCGACCCCGCCTGGGATGCACGAGGCGTTCCGGCCGCACCTTACGAACGGTTTCCCCCCGCATGGGCTCTTACCCATGCATCATCCTCAAGGTATGCATCCCCCTCCGCTCATCTCGGCGGCGCACTCCCATCAGCTTAGAGTGCCCCTGTCTGAAATGCCTCAGGATCTCTCAGTCAAGTCAGGGACCGTAACAGCGTGACTACCCTGGTGAGGCTTGGTCACAGTCGCAACGTAACGTTTCAATCCGCCCTCTCCCAAGATTCAATCCTCTATGCATACCAACCAATAAACCAGAAACAGGGTTACAGAAAAATCTTAAGATTGACCCTATTACCCCGATCACACTGCCAATCCGACAGCTGACCATGGTCTGACTGTATTCGGTCAAGCGTCGGTCTCAATGATGTGTCTGACCTACAAACCCACACCTACATGTTTTCACCCTTTTGATGAAAATTGTAGTTCCAATTTTGTTAAACCATGAAAACTTAGGGCTATAAAAAGTACTGTATCTCTCCTGATCGTATTCATTGGGCTTGTGCCTTGTTGCTCTTTATCAAGCAGTCTGAAATTAACGACCAACCGTTTTTAGTCCCAATTTTTGATACTATTTGAGAAAGAAGTGGCTGGACCATTTTAATGTAATTTTTTTACTCAATCAAAAATATGATTTATCCATTATCCCCTGAATTCATGTTAACTGCACGCCATAGGATTTTATCCATCTCAAGTTTATTTATAAAGCTACCTCGATCCATCCCACCGTTAAAGTGATAACCATGGTAAGGACCCCAATTCTGGTATGAGAAACCTACAAAGCTGCTTGATGTGTAGGTTCTGCCGAAGTGTTGCGTTGCGGCCAGAGTAAGTCTCTCCCTCCACCTGAACTTGACGATATGTACTATTCAACGTTGTGAATTTGTAAATTATTTATATGCACGGACCACATGCGAATCGTCTTGCGCCGTCGGAGCTCTCAGAGACACCCACCCGAGGCAATCGTCTGCTTTCGTCGGTCGGCACGGCCATTTCATTTGCTCCTACTGCAAGACCTATCTCGTAAAATGGGAGACAAAGACTCTTTAGAGCTTAAAAGATGACCTATCGTGACTGCTGAATTCATTGCTGTCTTTTTTCTTGTTTTGCTTTGTAATATATATTTCACTCACTTGCTCACTTCTGTACTTTTTTTTAAAGACGTTTTTTTTGTTGTTCATCTGTTGTTATAGGAACGCATCATACATCATCGGTCAATGGAAATGCAGTGTGTGGTGTTGGTATTTTAGTAGTGCCAGGAGTTTTGTAAACTCCTGTTTCAACAGCTTCTTAATGTGTTCCTCTATCCGATTCCGGTTTAAGAAATGCTGTCAAGTTCCGGTGTAAGAAATGCTTACTGATTTTAAATCCGATGTCGAGTGTTTTTAAATGAAGTGCTTGGGAAGTACATCACACCCAAGACAAACACTGAATTTTAAGCACCTACATGTCATTTGCTTTTGGCTGCAACCAAGTGTGTGTCCATACAGGACTTTTAAACATGTATCCATCATGAACATCTCTGATTTTACTTTAGCATTACATGAGGTATTAAAGCAGAAGATAAAAAGGAACAGATAGAAAATTAAGGGTTTATTATTTCAGTTCTTTCTTTGACAAAAGACTTTAAAACATGTCTTTTCAGCGAAAACACAATCTATCCAGAATTAAGATCATATGAACATGATGTTCTCACAGATAAATTACTAGAATATTAATTGTTAACATACTTCTTATGGTGTTGACAAATTACTAATTACCACTGTGGTGAGTTAGCTTCTAACTTCTTGTATGAATACACTTACAAGTCACATGACCAATCACATGACCGATCACATGCTATGATGCGTCTCCTTATAAAGCAAACTTGAATAACCATACCTGCAATCTTGTACATGTTCATTCATTAAAAGTCTATTACTTTATAATTTTGTTTATATAATATTAGTGAGAAATGTGATTTTATGTTGTAAGAATTATATTCTATGTTAGTTTTGATGTTTCCCCCCAAGATATATCTTTAAAGTTTGAAGTACACGCAAGTACATATCTGAAATTATTGACTTTTCTATTTTTTTTCTCATTCTTTTGTGGAGATATTCTTCGGAGGATGATCTTTTTTATACTTAACATCTCAAGCTACAATGTAGACAGTTACGGAAACTACCTTTTTGAAAATTAAATTCAGGGCAAAGAGTTGAAAATGACTTACAAACAGTACAGATGTAGAATTCAAAGTTGGTCAGTTTGTAACATATTGTACCTAACTTTTGATAAATCAAAGTTATATTTACTGTTATGTTTGTAGGAAGTATAGGAGAACTATGCTAACAAGCATGTTGTATTCATTCAATACGGATAATTTGATTATTTTTCTTTACTTTAAATGTTCCCCATTTACGATGTTCTTCTTGAGAAGGGACGAAACATCAATACTTGTCAAAAATCCTTCTCTCAGTAATTCAATCATTTATACCTTTAAAAACCAGGCACAATAACAGCATTTTATTTTCTCTCTCTCGATTTAAGCAACTACTTCTTGTCCCTGTTTTCTCCCAACCTAAAAGCATGTGGCTTCTGTGTTCTTTCTTGAGCTTCATTTTCTCCTTCACGTTTATGTATTTCGCTCCATCCGTTGATCGAGAGAGAAAAATTTGTGAAATATGTACTTCATCCTGCAGTTGATGAATGAAGAAAAGAGTACTATAAATAAGTGTGACAGTACTTTTGTTTTATACGAAACAGGACCCGCTTGTATTCAGCTTTTTTTGTTTTTTTGTAATTCAGATGATAATGTATTTTCTATGGAGGTTTAAAGGTTCCTGTGTATCATACAACAAGATTTCTTGAATATGCAATAAAGTTTGGAAATCTGCTCATTTTCACTCCCATTTTAGAATAAATACAGCGGCACAAAATGCTATCATGGATTGATGTTTGAATAATGATAACAAAAATGTGATATCTGATAGAGGTTAATTTCCATGTCGATCATAGAATCTAAATGAACTTGTCCAGATAATAATGATAATTTGAAGGATTGATGTCACCAAGTGAATATACATTAAAGGATTTACCACTGCCTTATATAAATTAGGATACCACATGCTCAAATATCTTCATGTTTTTCTATTAAAAAGAATCGATTTACACCACCGATCTTGGTGCACCTTTTACAGAGTTTCCCCAAATCTGTGGTCTGATTGGCTTTTTCAAGGAAAAGTACATTCGATTGTAACCTCAGTTTTTAATGTAACTTTTGTGCAAGTGGACTTTAATAGGTGTAATAAACTCATAGCTTTAATGATACGTACAAGGACCAAATCATACTAGACACTACACTTTGTAACACCTGGCAAAATTTTGCTCAGCTTTATATTAGTACATTCCAGGAGTACATGTTTTGGGGGATTTCCCCTAAGCCATAGTATGGAACAAGCCGTTAGTTTTGCAAGGATTCATTTATTTTCCAGAGGGTTTTATTTTTGTAAGGCATTCAATTACGTCATTTTTTTTGCAAATTTTTGTAGGGTTGCGAATTTGATAACGCACAGAAAAATGAGCTGTCAGGGCATGTACGATCATGTATTTCATGTACCATAGCATGTTTTAAATATCATTAATGCAAACGAAACAAACTACATGTACAACTTTTTTTGGTGGGTTTTTGTTATTTTGTACCTTCAGAATTAAAAAGAATCAAATAAAATGTTGAAAGTAAGTGTGGATTATTGCTAATACTACCCTTGGGCTGTAAGCTCCCCTCTTATTTTTTATGAACAGTTTGTAAACTTAAGACTTATCTTTTAGGCTGAACCGTGTATGTAATCCATCCTGAAAACATAAATAATGGTAAGATGGAGTTGTTCTTTCTCTTACCGGCCAGTCTTTTTAATAATGTGACGATACTGAATGCTGCACAGGACTTAAAGGGAAATCCAGCCTTGGCAGACAACTACTCTAAAGGAAAGCAGAAAAATCAGAAAACCTGACTGGTGAAGTGTGAATTGAGTTGGACAAAAAAATCAGAAAGTTATGAATTTTTGAAATTTGTAATCACTATGTGGGAACTTCAAATTGGCTGAATCAGTAATGTTAAGTGTAACAAAGTGCCGGACTACTTTCCCATTTGTTTCAACACATCAAATGATTAATATGTCTTTTTTTTCTTCAAGACTTATGGTTAGGGACATTCTTCTTGTTAGAGGACCTATAACAATATCTTATCAATAATAAACATGTACTATCAATATATTTTGAGTAGTGCCACAAAGGAGAAGGCACTTGGGGGAAAAACAGAAATTAATTATATTTTTGTACACAACAAACTCAAGTTGTCCCATGACTACGTAACAATCCTCTGACCAAATTGCCAATTTGAGATTTACATGGATTTAGTGATTTCTTATTTCATAAATTTGTAACTCCCTCATTATTGGCCCAATGTATTTCAAACTTTCGCTTTTCTATGTATCTTATTTTTCTGCTTCCCTAACAACGAGTTATTACAGGGTTTGGATTGCCCTTTCAGACTATTAACTCATCCAAAATGTATCACATACAAAATGTTGACAATTTTTCTGTAATATAGCCCTTTTGTTGTTAAAACATAAAGACAACTTATGTCTCTTTGTTTTTAAAATTTTAAAGACGACCACTGTACAGATGGCTGTTGAATGTGTTTTTAAAAAGAGGGCTTATTTTTTTATCTCACGTACAGAACTCTTGATATATACGCAATTTCCGACAATTGTAGTTGCCTGTATTCAGAAAATATTCATTACTTCAACGGTTGAATCACTTGCTAATGTTCCTAAGGAATTTCAGAAACAAATATTAAATTTTGCTGTTTCATATTAGGAACCTTTTATTCAAAAACTGTTTATCCATATCAACTGAAATCTCTGTCATATTGGTTTTTGGTAAATTTTGTAGAAAATTAGGGCAGTTCATTTAATCACCAATAGACATTCCATAACATCACCTCCATTCTTTATCAGTTCTAGAAGGTAACAAAACGATTAATTTAGTTATCTTTCTTTAATCGGTAACTCTCATAAATTTTAAGTTGAAAAAATTATTAATACAATTTTTTTTTTTTTTTTTAAATTAGCAATTTGGTTAAAAAGTAATCTGGGCAAAATTCTATCACCCCGGTGAGAGAAAACTATGAGTCTTAATATCTTTTCTGAATACAGGTTTATACTGCTTGATGACTGTCGTTTTGTTTTGGACTAGTTTCAAGTAATGTGTCAATAATTAGTGTGAATAAGAGATTTTTATAAGATGCCTTGTGTGTTAATGTTTTCCTAGTGAAATAATCATGTTTTCAACAAAATTACGATGAAGATTACATATAGTTTTAAAAGTTTTTTTGAATTGAACTATTTGCAAATATCCCCTTCCAACTTAAACCTTCATTTTTTAAAAAATTAATAATTGTTTCAGGAATTAGTCTAAAATAAAAAGAAAAAAACATATGTAGATGGTTAAATTAAATTATTGTTTGAAGCCTGTATCTTTGAATTGTTTTGGACATGGATGCAGGGGGTTCAGAAGTAACTGTTGAATTTCAGATTATTCAAGAATTTGTATTGCTAAATTATCATATTTAATTATAAAAGCAAATCATGTGAACCGATTGTTCAACTAATTGTTCGATGAGGAATTGCTTTTTGACTTTTGAAATGAAAATCATGTTTTGTCATTGACTGTATGTTTTTTAAACAACTATTTTTTCTTGTTAGTGTGTTTTTGTATTATATAATAGATGCTCATGAGAGTGGTGATGTTTTTTGTTTTCACTTTTTTTTAAAATTAATTTTTTGTTTGTAGAGCCTTCACAGAATTGCAAATGTATAAAATATTGTAATTTGCGTAAACATTCGATGGAAAAAAATATTGTGAAGATTTGAAGAAAAAAATAGTGAAAATGATTCTACACACTGGGCCGAAACGAAAAATGTTTATATTAGTGCATTTGTGAAATAAACATCTTTTTCAAGAACAGATAAATGATTTTTGATTGTGATGTGTCCCTTTTTGAAAGTGAGAAGTACCGGTAGTTTTATGTTTATGCGATTATGTCCCCAGGAAAGAAATATCCATTATATTAAACCTTAGATATTCAACAAAGGCCCAATTAAACCAGTCCACTTTTCATTCTTGAGTTACAAAAAACATTAAATTTACAAGGGACACGGGTTACCAGCAATATAATGTTTGAGAAGACAACACAACCACATGAACAAAGAGGAATATGATACGATATGAATACTGTAGTAATTCATGTTTTAATGGGTAGAACACATTGTTTTTAGCATGAATAAACGTTTGACACTGGTTTTGTATGGTTTTTCCTCTTCCTCGATATTGACAATGCGCAGCACTCACAGAGTTCCTGCGCGCACAATAATGTCCGAGGAAAATAATCAACAATTCGGAGCCAATTCCAACGTTTTTTTATCTTCTTCATCAGAAATGCAGCTTCGACAACACATTATTGATTTGCTAAATAAGAGTTCCAGTTATACAGAAAAGCAACAATAAAAAGATTAATTTAAATTATGATTGAACAAATAAAAGGCAATACGAAAGGGAGTAGGGGAACATTTGCTTGTTCTACTAAAAAAACAAAAATAAAGGCAATAAAGTGTGACTACTTTGGGTATAATCATACGGTAAAAATTACGATAGTAAATACTCCTTAATATGTAGAGTAAGTATACGAGGAGTGCGAGCTACATGCGAATACTCCATTCACTTTCGGCGTCTATTCAAAGGAAATAAACCTCACACCCAAGAAAGATAACGTACCACACCGATACTTCTATGAAAGAGTTCACATAAATTCTCCAGTAAATGGGAGAATACTCAAATCATTTCTTCTCTAATTCCACAAGACCTTTTTTGTTCAGAGACTAATCCACCACAAATCAGCCCCGAACTGGTCTTCACAGTACAGTCCAATTTCAATTAATATTTTATTCACCTGGTAACCTACACCACAGTCGTCATCTACGAATTATGAAGAAGTGACTGGCACGCTAAGCCTAACCCACCACAAGTTAGGCTTGCTCCAGACTCACTCTTCATTTTCTAGTCATGAAAATGCTACACCACCGCATCATTACAAACTAAACACTAAGTTTTATGTCTTCTTAGTATCATCACTATGACAACTAAAGTTGACAACAAAAAAAGAGGGTCTAGTCCACCTTTCTAGAGGGGGTGCTTCACTAAAAAAGCACAGAGGGACCGATATGTGTGCATTTTCTTTTACCAATGATTCACACTAATAAAGCTCTCGCAAGTGTTTCGGTCAGAAAAGAAAACATCTTAAACACAGGCTAGTCATGTCAACAGGGGACAAACAATGAGCACTTTTCGCATACTGGTTTCCACTGTATGCCTTTAACATTGTCTCAATTCTTTTCTTCTTTGAAAAGTTTGTGCTAAGCTATTTAGACAGTACTTTACCATCCTAAATAGTTTCATCACGTTAAGTCTAATTGTATCTCTATCTTTCTGAAGTGAAAAGAAAGGAATATATCACTATGTGATATTCAAGTCGGTCAAATATAGTAAACATAAACACGCTGCGGCCATTCAAATGCTCTTCAAAATGGCCGCCATCACTTGATGCTTTTAAATGAATAACTGTGGACTCATCCATACAAAGTAATGCACAACATCGTTAAGTGCAGAAGAATACTCCACTATTAATACTTGCTAGTAAATCTCTCTTCATCATCTGATAATGCTAATAAAATAAAAAGATGGATGAAAGCAGAGAATCAAGAATTTCGATCGAGAAGAGTCCAAAAGATGCCATCTTTATCACTTTACAGTCTCCTCCCAAGTTTTGTTCAATCATTCGTATTAACATCCTCATAGTTGGATGATGATGAAAAGAAATTACAAACAAAACATGATGGTGATAGACAATGGACAGCTTTCTCCTTAATTCATGACACAATTCAAAACAAGCTTTAAATTGATTTCTTGCATCAAATTGCAACTTGACTTGAAGTCGCTGAGAATCATTATCTTACTTGACTTAGAACTAGTTAATCCTCCCAGACATAAACATCAGTAAGAAACTGACTATAGCATTTTCTTTAAGAGGTTACATCAAATTAGAATTATTATCAAAAAAGACTTTTCAGGCCAGATGCAGATTTGAAAGCTGTATTAAATATATACCATATATGGGCATTTCATATACGACAGAATAACATATTGCATGTTAATTACCTGAATAGCGACCAACATAACATTTGAGTGGGGAAGGTTCATCGTATAAGAGATAAACCATTTGTCTTCAACTATGTGTATTACTAGAGTACATGCGGTTACACGTGTGTGAAACCAGGCAAAAGGATTTTTATATAAAAACAAATTATGGGGGCAAATAAGGACGTTATTATATTTTTCATAGCAATGATTATCACAGCATGGCTATTTAAACTCAGTATTAAATCACAAAATAGTATAGAACGTAATAATAGAGAAGAAAACATTGACGTAATCCCCAATACTGCTTGATCTTCTTTCAGACACAAAAAAAAAAAGAGAAAAGAAAAAGATGAAAGAAAATAATAAAAAGGTCCAATGCCATGCACCAGGGCATGGCAGCAAAATGCTACACTGACTATTAGGTATAAGAAAAGTTCAAATAATAGATTTGAGTCACAAATGCTTGTACCAGATACCTTTGCAATTCTCACCATGCACAATTTCATCATCAGCAAAAAATAAATGAGCTGGCCTCTAGCTAGACATATAACCTTAGAATAATGATGATCAGTTCACATATGAATCAGTCTATCATGTAATAAGCTTGTAGCTGAGCGTTACTATCTACCATTAAAGCCGTTCACATCGGTCGCTTCTGCAAAGACAAGCTACTTCCAACTACCAAAACCTTTTGAAAGTGGCTTTTTGACACTGAATCAGACATAAGAGCATGCATCAGAAAAGAAAATAAGCTAGATCGTATCTTGTTGCGACATGACAAAATATTTCATTCAAATTCTTTTCTTTTTGTTTTACGGTGAAGAGCTGTAAGTACTTGCAAGTGCAGGTGTGTTTATAACAGCATACTGTATGCAAAGCCAGTATATCTATTCATATCCAAAACTTTAGCGATGAACTGAGATCTAGTAGTAGAAGACGAATCACATGAGCATCGTTTCATATTTCATCCACCTCTTAACACATTTCCACACAGTCTCTCAACCAAGCTGCTTAGATTAGAATGAAAACAGAAAACATAACAGAAGAGAGTAATATACCAAGAAGTAGTTTCATCATCAGAACTAGGATTCTTGAAAGTGAGCATATATTTGCCCACTGCCTGCCCAAAGTGCTGAAACGAACCTCGTTCACTTAGAAAAATGAATATACCTGTGATGTCTTGAACTTCAGAAAGAACTTCTTTTTGAACATATTGGTTCTGAGTTGAACCAAAAAGTTGAACACAAAGTTTTTATTTTGTATGTCCATCAACATCAAGTGCAAAATCCCTCAATTAGATTCAATTTATTTGAAACCTCCCAATTCATTGACCAAAGTCCAGCAAATAATAGCTAAGATTTATTGCCATTCTTTTGAAGTTCAAAACACCATGATTTTGTAAACATCATCCCTAAATGCATCTAGGAAAACAAAGCTTACCAAAGAAATCCAACTACACTGACATGAAAAGATAAAAGTCTACTTTAAAAAAAAAGATTTAAAAAAAGAAAAAAGAAAAAAGAAAAGAAACGCAATGATGACCCAGCACTTCTTTTTAGTTCTTGTCCATCATCAAGTAGTAGTTTATGCTGGTTGAGTTTGATTGGTTTCCGTCCCATGATGAAGATGATGAATATCTATCTCGGGGTACGTTCGTTACGTTCACATAGAAGGCTGGTTCCACATTCTCCAGCCCTGAGGTATCAAAATGAAAAAGGATTAAAAAGGAGGGATGTTTGTTAGGACACGGTGTATAAAGATACAGGACTTAAAGGTACTATGTCCCATTTGAAGGCCAAAAAATGAAAAGGTTAAATTCCAATGACATTTGAAACTTTCCTCAAAACAAAAGGGCTTGAAAATGTCTTTTTGTGGGAAAAAAAAGACCACATAGATAGACACAGATGGGACATACATGACATATTCATAATTCCTGCAAAATTCTATAGAATTTGATGTTGGCTGCAAATGGCACATAGTAACCTTTAACAAGTGTTGTGCTCACTTGTATTATTTCAAAGGTGCATTAATTAATAAATGAAAAACTTCATCATTTGAGAGGTAGTTCCATTGCTCAGGAATATAGATCAACCTTTCCAAAACCTTTTCTACATTTCTCAAGGGTGAAAACACTCTTTACTCAAGTATTTCATTACTAACCTTTTTTCATAAAAAAAAAAAAAAACATTTGAGGGGTCATTGTAAATTCTACAGTCATTTACTCCCCCATCCCTGTTAATTAGTTTTTAGCATTTGCAGAAATGAAATCCTGAAATTAATATTCTGTACTTCAGCAAAATGTTACTCCTAACGTACAGTAGATTTCCTTTCATAAATGTATTTTGTTTAAAAAGGATCGTTTCGGGAGGTCAGTTTTGTTCAATTTGTTTTCTAAGAAGACTTTTTTTCTTCTTTTTTTCCTTCTTTCCTTGATCAAATTCTGCACAGTACACCTAAACAGAATCTCTGTATTCTGTGATCGCGCAATTCAGAATGGCCTGCAAAGACTTAATGATCTTTTAGATTGTGAGATGCATTCAACTCTAAAATCCTGTATTTGAACACCTTCTATTGGTATTTCATACCTGCCAACCTCACAAAGCAAAAATTAGGAATACATTCATTTTGTTTACCTTTTACACGTACGTTTTGAGAAAAGAGAGGAATCTAGGATCTATTACCATTAGTTTGAGGGCCAAAAAGTAGGAATAATTCCTCCAAAATAGGAGTGGTTGGCAGCTATGGTATCTCAATAGTTTGGTGTGATTTGAGCCTATTTCTGTGCTGTACTCTTGGTCAGATCCATTTCATATTTACAGCATTTAAATCAGATTTCTATGGGCACTTTACGGGACAGCTCCTGATTTAGGATAGGGAGACCTTGACAGAAAAATCAATAGAAGACGTATCAAACACTCGATTAGAGAGCAGGGATGCCAGTAAGAATTGATCAGAGTGCCTGAAAATCACCAAGAATGAGCTATTTTTGTACGCAAAAAAAGCCTCAACTATGGCCTGAAAATAAATCGTCAAGGCCTGAATTCAGGCTTTTGCCTGAAAACTGGCATCCCTGAGAGGGGGACAAAAATGAAATATTTCCCCCCTACCTGATTGTTATCCATGTTGTCAGTGGCTGAAATAGCAGGTGTCCAGACCCCGTTGCCCATGGAGGGCGGGGCGGTGTAGGGCATGGCCTGTGGAGGGGGTAGACTACCAGGGTGTGGTTGGTGGTTGGTAGGGGGCAGGCCACCGGGGTGGGGCTGCTGGTCTGACATCTCCCTCTGGTAGGACATCCCCTGAAACAAAAGCAACGAAGGAGAGATTGATGTCAGTCACTTGGGCGTGGGCCAAGACGGGGCGATAGATCATTGGGGATTCGGTTACTTGCTCTAGTAGAACCTGCTTTAGCCTTGGAATTTATGCAGATATGATAATCGATGATTGCTCTACCCAACTGCTAAGAAAGCATGCATAGTCTCAAGAGTAAACAACCAGGGGAACAATGGCTTAAAGTCCTCTCTGAGGGACTTGGTAATGAGGTTTATTTAATGCCTTACCTAAACACAGGAGCGCATTGACTTTCTTTTTAACACGGGACCTCCCAGTTACGAGACCACTGCTCTATCACTGAGCCATCGCACCTCCTTTTAGGGCTCGATTGGTAATGTGAATTAGTTTAGGTATAGTGTTGTGTCCAAGGTTGGAGTTTAGGCAATTGTTAAGTATCATATATTCACCACAGAGCAACTGTAATCCAAGCTATTGTACGTAGAATCTTTGGTACCACTGGACCCTGGTCCTGAAACCTGAAACTATCTATCTACCTAACATTATTCATTCAACCAAAGAGAAACCTTAACTTAAACAAGGTGCAATATTTTCACATAATTTACACTGCTTTAAACATGTTTATGTACTTTGATGTTTGATTTCAGTAGCTTATATAAATTAAAGATAAACTTGAGTACTGGTAATGCAATTGCATTGTGAAAGAAAAGGTGTGGAAAGGATCAGAAACAGTTGATCATGTAGCATGTAAGTATTGGTGTGCACTGCACGGTTCTGGAGTAATCAAAATCATAATAAATTTGACCGAGTCTTGGTAAAGTGACAAGCACTGTACACAGAAAGCCATATACACATGATGTCGGGGCTGGTACTACCTTGATTTCCTTGTCTTTTTATGCTCATTACTCAGCCATTATACATTTTCTTCCAAAATTGTTTGGCACATGTCATTTATTTGTAATCTTGAACATTCAGTGTATGTTTCGTTTGATTCTGTGAGAATTTATTTTCTTTTTTTTTTTTTACCAGAACTCAAGTTTATCTTTAACTGTTAAAAAAAAAACTCTCTGGAAAAAAAAAAGACAGAAGAAAAGAGAATCTTTTTCTGTGTGAAGTTGGCAGCTCTTGTAAATGAGAAGAAAAAAAACACCCAAAGAACTGGGCAATTAAAAGTCAAACTCATAAAAGACGAAAAACGTTGCCAATTTGAAGTTCAGACTTGATTTAACTTACCACAGGTACGTTCATAGGTTGGCCATGGTAGCTCTCTGGTCGACCGATAGGTCTCTGGATAGGATTAGCAGGAGTGTTGACAACCATGTCATCCATAGAGATAGAAGCATTGGGCCAACAATTCCCCTCACCAGCTAAGAAGGGGAAGAACAAAACGGAGACGTTCATTTGAGGGGACGTTTGGTGGAATGGATGTTAATAAATGACATTTCAATGGTTTTGCAATTTACATGTGCCTACTACCATGTTATCATCCATAGAGATAGAAGCATTGGGCCAATTCATTTCACCAGCTAAGAGGTACCAAGAACAAAATGGAAACATTCAATTTAGGGGTGGTTGATGGAAAGGTTAATTCATGACATTTCAATGGTTTTGCAATATGTGTGCCCAATTACCATATTATTATCTGAAGTGATAGAAGCATTGGGCCAATTCACCTCACCAGCTACTAGGTACCAAGAACAAAATGAAAACTTTCATTTTAGGGGGCATTTGATGGAAACATTAATTAATGACATTTCAATGTTTTGCAATAGATATGCCCACTACCATATTATCCATAGAGATAGAAGCATTGGGCCATTCACTTTGCAAGCTACGAGGTACCAAGAACAAAATGGAAACGTTCATTTTAGGGGACGTTTGATGGAATGTATGTTAATTAATGACATTTCAATGGTTTTCGACAGGTGTGCCCACTACCATATCATTATCTAAAGCGATAGGAGCATTGAGCTAAAAACAAGACATTCACATATGTTTCAATTACAAATAAGAACCTTAGGTATTTTGGCATTTAATACATACACAAACAAATGTCTCTGAGAGATAGACAGTATTAAGTACACATAGGACAGAAATTGTCAATGACTGAGGACATGTGTAAGGGAAAGGAAATAATGGTGAAAATCATTTTGATGATTATTAATTTTCTTGGTCAAATATAAGATGAGCTTGATGTCGGACTAGAGTACATCAGAATTTTTTGCTGGATCGAAAATCAATGCTGTAACCTCTCACAAAATTAGACTAGAGTTCTACAAGTCTGAATCCGATGACCAGGGTAATAGTATATATCTGTAAAGCCCTTTGAGAGGGCCTGCGGTCCTGAAAAGCACTATATAAGATCTATCTATTATTATTATTATTATTATTATTATCACTGGCACATGAAGTTAAAATGGTTGTGTACAGCTGACAAAGTCCAAATGGGCAAACTGAAAGCTGTGATTTCTCTTCTTATGTATCTTATTGTACAGATAGGATTCTATGCTTGTTTCAGTCAAAGCTTCACGAGGAAAGAGAGCAATAAGATGTGATCTTTACCTTGATGGGCCCAGATGCTTCCTGCCGAGGTGAAAGGAAGATCAGCAAACCCGACAGGTGTACGTCGATGAGTCTGCTGCCCTCTACGCTCCGTCCCAATGGGGCGTGGTAGTTTCCTATCCTGGGCAGCCGCAGAGGTACTGGGGCTAGTGGTACCAGACCTAGGCGACGTACCTGGGGATGCGTTGGCGTTGGGAGGGGTCGGGGAGGGTGCAGGAGGGTTGGTGATGGGCGAGAAGTGGGACAGGTTGGCATGAGGCATGGATGCGGAGACGACATCGGGTCGCTCGATGGGATGGGCGTGGGGGTGTTGGTGGGGGTGGGCATTAAGGTGTGGTTGAGAGTGAGGGTGGGGATTGGGTGGGGCATGGGGATGGGGTGGAGGTGGATGTTGGGCATGCATGTAGTGGATGGGGTTGAAGTTGGGCGGATTCCCTTGGAGGTTGTTGACCGTGCTCAGCAATCCAGCGTCCCCTCCTCCTACTGGCATGGATCCGGTCGAGAGGCGCTTGTACCCTGGAGCTTTGGCCTCCTCAGAGTTGGGGAAACCCCCTTCTTCTCCAGTCCCCTCCTCCTTCAAGGTACCTCCTGGAGCTAGGGAACTCCAGCCAAAGGCATTTGCAGGGTTCTGGCTCCTACCCTGGTTCATGTGGGATAGGAAGTTGAACCCTCCTGTAGCTGTGGATACCGGTGCGCTGCGGTTACCGTCAGGCTGCTGAGGAAGCATCCCTGATCCAACCTGCTCTCCCATGCCCTGACTCTGCGATGGCATCATCATCCGTGGCATGTGGAGCTGCTGCCCAGAGCGGCTCTCCGATATCTTGGACGCAAACGTACTAGCGTTGATGTTGGACTGAGCAGAGACTGAGACAGGCATGGCACCGACAGGCGTCGGCGCACTGCTGGTCATCACCCCACCCGATCCACTCACAGCCACACTCTGGATTGGTCGATTGGAAGAGACGGTGTTTGTAACCGCTTTCCCGGCTGGTTGCGTAAACAGTTGGCGCGCCACACCATTCCTAGGCGACTTGGCAGACGCTTGTTGGGGAGCACTGCCTACAGGAGGAGCCACGTTGACCGAGATAGGTCCTCTTCCCTGCTGATGGACCTGCTGCGGTGGCTGATGATGCTGGCTGGGGTCAGGTACCCTGCTTGGGGCAGCCATGGTGGTAGGGGCAGGCTGCCTGATGGGTTGACGACCCCATTGCTGGGCCAGTGCCGCCATCTGGTGCTGCTGGACTCCTTTGGGTAGACGAATCACTCCTGGCATTTGGTTGGGGTATTGGGAGTTGGCTGGGGCACTGTGGCTTTGGGTAAGCTGCTGGTGGCCAGGTTGCAGAGAGTTCTGCTTGGATGCAGGGGGCTGATGATTGGCAGTACTAGACTGGTTCATCTGTACACAAGGAAATGAAATAAAAAGAAATATGAAACTACCATTACATTAGTTAATGAGAAATGCAGAATTTAATTCAGGAGAACCTGAAATATTGGCCTCAGGTTTACAATATTTACAATCTATTAGGCCCTGTGAGCAAGTCCAAAGTACTATTTCCCTTTAGTTATCATGGATTGAAATAGTGATTTTTCCAATCGTTTAAATTTCACTGTAGTTCAATGTTTTTATGTATAATAATAATAATAATATTAGGATTGCGCCTGTTCTTTTTAACCACACATAGATTAGATCTTACACAGCATCATATATATATACCTGTGCAACCTCAAAGTACGAAGATACACCAACAACATGGTGGCCTGTACTTCAACAGAAGAAGAAGAATATCAGATATACCACTCAAGGGCAGCCAATATTATATCAATATTTGGGACACAAAATGACCAAATACGTTGGACTTGCCTCTAAATGCTTCTTATTTACAGTGTACATACATAAGGATACCCTGCAATAGAGAATTCCATATCAACACTCCACACATAAACACATGGTTTGAAACAAGAAAGCATAGTACAGTGAAACCTGTCTATAATGACCACCCAAGGGAGACAAGAAAAGTGGTCTTGATTGGCAGGTGGTCTTTATGTACATGTTCCTTGAGTACATATTTCAATGAGAAACAATTTTCAAGGGAAAAAACAAATGTGGTGGTTGTAGACAGGTGGTCACTAAAGCAGGTTTGACTGTACTATGGAGACTTTTCCTGTTGCTTACCTTAGGTGCCTGTTTGGCTGCCGTGGTACCTGTCTGCACACTGCTCTTACTCCCAGCCTGCGATGATGATGACGTGGTGGTCGATGAGGATGATGACGGGGCCTGTGTAGCGGTGAACATGGTGATGGGGATGGTTGCCGGTGCTACAGACTTCTTGATCTTGGCTACTAGCTTGCTGAGGTCTTCATCTGGGTCCTTAATGAGGGCACTGATCAGGTGGTGGGCTTGCCGGGTGGCGTCCGCTGACCCCCTGAGGGAGCAACACAGAAAGGGAATGTTAAACTTTATTTACTTTTCATTGTAATTGTTGTTCAAGTTTGAATTACAAAGCAAAGTCGCTTAAAGAACAGTTCTCTTAATCTTGTTATTTAAATGCAAATTCAAAGGAGATTAAAGGCAAATTTTCATCACAAATGGAGAAGCTGTTTCAAGAGTGTTGTTCATGGCATCACTTTCGTCACAATCTGGTTTGTCTTTTGTCAAGTCAAATTCACCCACCACGGGTCAAGCATTATACTTTTTTTCTGCCTTTGAAGAACACTTTATTTACAGAAGGTAATTAGAAGGATCATTGATTGAGTGAGTTGAGACCTTTTTTCAAAGGTGAATGCATTACAAAATAATTGCCCTTTATGCATACTTCTAACTAAAAAAATACTGGTTCTCTTGATTACTTGATTGTTTTGATATTAGTCAGGTTTTGTTTCACATAAGCATCTACCTTAGCATGTTACTACCGAGGCACAATATGACTGATGCAAGGAAGATTATATATATTACAAAGCCAGTCTCAAGTTTATCAATTTGACAAATAACAGTCATTTTGAAGTGACTTACTTGATATTGATGGTGCGCTCGTTGCCCTTGTTCTGTCTGTCCACATCGATGTGAGCCCCGGTGGCGTCTCTGATGGCATTGATGTTACATCCTCCCCTTCCTATTAGTCTACTGATTGCATTGGCTGGCACGGTTACTTTCTTGGACCTACAAATTAAATAGTCAAAGCACATTTGGTTTCACATCAAGTAAATCTGCAAGTTAATATTCACAGCATTTTTTAATCTTATCCTGCCTCTCATACTGTTGGGATCGCTTCCATATTTATCAAAAAAGTAAAGAGCTTAGTAGCTGGACTTCTCATGCTGTTACCAGATTATAGCAGGAAAACCACACACTTGACACTAATACAAAGTGTGGGGAAGCTAGGAAAGGAGATCATTAGTCAGTCAGAGATACAACTTTTGAGTTGTATCTCCCCAAACCTTATCAAAACTCTCTTGATGTTTGTAGGTTTACCTCCTGACTACCTCTTGCTTCTGTTTTCTCTTGGGGCTAGCTGCAGTGATCGACGAACGCTTCATAATAGGACTACCCATCTTATACATACATATTTCATTTTGTCCTCTCTGCAAATGCATCCCTACCACTTTCTCAAAAATCAAAACATTGGAAGGTAGGTCTTACCTTCTAACTACTTCTTTCCATCCCTCCTCTCGTTTCTGTCCTCTCTTGGGGCTAGCTGCAGTGATCGACGAACCCTTCATATTAGGACTACCCATGTCTCCTCCTGGGCCAACAGATTTCTTGCCCCCTCCGTCTAGACCGGTTGAGTTCTGGTCGTCGTGTTTGCTGCTTGAGAGGAAAATGAAAATGTTATGAGACAGTCGCTTCTCAAATACATATATGAGAGTAGTTCACCTCGTATGGCCTACTATTCATAATGTACGATTCTTTGACGCATACTCTGTTGATAATTGCTCCCATTAGTTTTTGTGCAGTAATACATTCTGAACTTTAACCCGAGACTGAACAATGTAACCCTACCCTAATGATACCCCTTAACCTAACCTAAAACCCCAATCGCAACCCTAACACAATCCCTAATCCCAATCCTATATGTTTGATGAAATAAAGCAGGGGTAAATATTGGATCAACGTTTGCATTGTATGGTCTAGTGCTCCGGACATATGTAGAAGTATCCTGGCTAAGGATCAGTGTACTGTTTTACAACAAGTTCCATCACTTCTGGGGTGCGTTTCACAAAACTTGTCATCAGAGACTAATGACAGATTTGTTATAAGCCACTGAAATCCTTGCTTCTGATTGGTTATCAGCAGATTTGTCACTGATTTTTGTCATTTGTCATTGAAAAAAGGCTTTGTGAAACAGGTCCCTGGTTGGTTCATTGGTTCCTTACAATCCTTTCCCAGTTTTACCGCATGGATCCTGCCTACACTTACATGGTATGGTTCTGCCCCTTCTCCTTCATGCTCATGCGTTTCTTCTTCTTCTCCTCCCTTATCTTCTCTTCGTGTCTCCCTCCCTCTTTGGCTCCTTCCTTCCCTCCATCCTTGACGTCTCCGTTCATGTTGACTCTGTTCTTGTTGTTCTGCCTCTCCTCCTTGCTCGAGGCAGAGTTGTTGCTCCTGCTCTGGTTGACCTTGTTGTTGGCGTGTTCCTTTGCACTTGCTGACTTCGTCTGGAAGGGAAGCATAGGGTTAATTCAGTGAAACCTGTCTATAAAGACCACTCAAAGGAAACATTAAAAGTGATCTTTATAGGCAAATGGTCTTTATAGACAGGTTGCCCTAGTACAGTAAAATCTGAATAAAAAGACCACTCAAGAGGGAAACATGAAAAGTGGTCTTCATAGGCAGATGGTCTTTATAGACAGGTTCCTTTAGTACAGGTTTCATTGGGAAATGTTCACTATTCAAGGGAAATGAAAAATGTGGTCTTTTTAGACAGGTGGTCGCTTAAGCAGGTTTGACTATAAACATTGACATGTCGTGCTAAGAAAGCAAGTGAATGCTAGTAAGGATTGTAGTGCGGCAACCAGTAGACCTACTGATGCCACATCGCACCGCAATGGTGTTCATATGCATGCATGCACTCTGTCCAGAAGACGGTAAGAGTTTGCTGAACTCTTTACTTTGCTTACTATCATACAAAGAATGCTTGGAAAAAGTAAATAAATAAATATAAACTTCAGTTCTCTCAAACGAGAACATGCCCTATTATTTCGTAAGACTGACCTTAATGTTGGGTGGAAGGGCTGCTTTGCTGTTGGTTTGGTTGATGACATTTGATGATGATGCAGAGGATCTATGGGAGGACGTGGTGGACATTGCAGCCGTAGTGGTATGCGTGGTGGCGGCTGTGGTGGTGGCGGTGACCACAGCGTTGCTACCACCTCCCGATCCTCCTCCTTGTGATGTTGCCGTGATGATGTTGCTCTGGTTGTTCTTGTTCTTCTTGCTGACTGTGGTGGTGGTGGTTGTGGTGGTGGTGGTGGCTGTGGCGGACTGGCCGTTGCTGCGAGCTGTGGTGGTAGTGGTGGTATCCTTGGTGCGGACCTTGCCAATGGTGGTCGTGGTGGTGGCCGATGGTGGGTCCAGTGGCACAAGGTCTTCAACTACAAAAGAGAAACAAACAATACCTTGCCAATTTCTAATATATTTTTTTAATGACCAAAGATTAGCACACACCATCTCACTTTGGAGTACCTAACCAAATAAAGATTTTCTTAAGCACACGTTACAGGAACTCAAACAGTAAAGGCAACAGAAGACCCAGAAAACATACCCTATATGTAATATTGCTAGAACAAAATACCTGAAATATTACTCTTTTCATAATTATGCTGCATTTTTTAATGTGCATGTCAAACAGACATTAAAAATTAGGTCTTAGAGAAGACAAATTTTGTTTTTTAGCACAATAAGAAAATTCCTTTTTCTGACATGCTTTGATCATTTAAAGAGTTTTTTCCAGCATTTCGGAATATATTCTGCAAAAAATACAAAGAGTCCATGTAGACGCTGATCATTCATCCCCTCTTGTATGATAACAAGGGGTAAATTTCACGACTCTTGGTTCGTCATCACTTAACAATTTCCTCCATAGTGCAAACCTTTCCAATGCATTGTTTTTCAAAGTGTGCTTCAACAATTTAACACCCAAATTCTGGATCCACGTTGATAATTTAAAAAATAATATCAAATACTACCGCATACTCCTTGCAGTAGCAAATGGAGAAAAAAGGTCCACAACCCACAAACTGGACTTTTTGAAACACAGAATGCATGGACAATTTCTAGGAGACACTCTTTCTTATAGAAATGTACATGCATATATAGAAGCATGCATGTACATACTTTCGTAGGACTCACTCGTTTCTCTTCCCAGGCTATCGTCTTCTTCATCTTCTTCTTCGTCGTCTTGTTCGGGTTCCGGCGAGCTGTTGTTCGGTCCTCCTTTCTGCTGCTTCTCCTTTCGCTTCTTTTTCTTCTTCTCGCGCCGTTTTGCAGCTGCCATTTTACGGCTCTCCTCTCGCGTCTAAAAATGGAAACAAGCGGGAAAGTACATAATACACGGGAATCCAGGTGTAACCGTCACTTCAGAAGTGTTTGTATGATATAAACAAGACTTAAAGTTCAATACACTGTCAGAATGTGCAAAGACTTGCTCAAAAGCAAGTAAATCGTTACACAAGTAATAGGTCTGTACACTGGCCCTATACAGCATGTAACCCTTGCCCTAAACCAATCCTAAAAACAAATAGCAACACTAACCCATACCCTATGGCCCAAATTCACAAAGGAGGTTTGTCGACAAACCTAGGTTTACGTGCGTCATATGACATGTTTCAGACCAAGGTTTATCTGAACCTTGGTCTGCAACGAATCAAAACTCGTCGTATGACGCACATAACCTAGGTGTGTCGACGAACCTCCTTTGTGAATTCGGGCCATTATCTTTGACAAAAAAAGCCTGGACCCATCGTCACCACAGTAGATGTCCGAGCAACCCTCTATCTAGTCTCTCTTACCTTCTCCGATTCCAGCTGCTCTAGAAGGATATTAGCATGTTTATTGGCTTCAGCTGCCTGGCGTTCTTTAGCAACCACGATGATCTCCATGCATTGCTGGCATTTCTTTAGAACCTCCTATACAAAACAAAGGAGAAATACATTAAAACTTTGATCAAATATATTGGCAAGTGCAATCAAAACATCAACTAAAGAAAATATTAAAAAGTTGATATTTCTTTCCATGTTCAGCAGTACTATATTTGCACAAATAATGATTTTTCTAAGTGTTTTAAACAAATGCACTTACCCAGCAGCACATTTTGGTTTGCTAGGGCATGCAAGTTCTTGGGAAGCCAATGACAGCCAAAGATAAGTAGGAACCCGAAATGAGAAGTCAAGCTGAAACTTTAAAGTACAAATAACCTAGACTATCGACTAATTATAAGACACAAGTTTGATTTTCAAAAGTTTCATTCAAAAGCAGTTCTTTTTGTAAAGCAACATGCCCTCGACTTCAAGAAAGTTTAAACTACTTCAATATCACTCTGTATCTAACAACCTAAAAAGTGTTACCCCTTGGTATCCATGGTATCTTAGGGACACTTACCCTGTCTGAGATGGTAGCGATGTATCTCATGCAGTCGGTGTCCGATGGAAACTGGTTGACGTGCTTCACCATCCATCGCACAACTTTCACATGACCCTGCAATGAAAGAAAAGATATCACCGTCAATGATAAAGTCTGTCTCTTCTGCCTTTTCCATTGCAGAGAGGGTGTAGCTGTAACATATCATTCTTTCACATCTTTCAATGACTTCCAGCTCTTCAATATCTGTCATATTTTTCTTCATCATACTCACAACGTGACAAATCTACCTTTGCAGAACAATGTAAAAAGAGCATACCAGTTTCTTTCTTGAACAATGAATATAAATTTACATTATTTTTTATCATATGTATTTATTTTTCAGAAAATTAGGATAACACTGTAAATTGTTCCTTTTTTTTTGTGTGTGTATTGTTTTGCTTCATGTATTATAACTATGTATGTAATTTTGTTATGCATTTATGTGATTTTGAACTGCAACCAATCAGTCAGTACAAATTTATTTTGTGCTTGCAAGAGACTGATAAATGCATCTATCTATAAATCTTTATTTTCATAACAAGTAATTTGGCAAGAAATCTCAACTTAATTAAGATACCAAGAAATTATGTTTCCGCTGCCTCAATAATTGCTGAACCTGCAGGGTAATCACCAAATTGGCAACAACCTGTTCAAGGTATGACTTCTTGCAAATGAGATATTGCTGGATCAATATCATTCACTAATGACTTTGTTCAATATGTCTCCGAGGTCTGTTTTAGATTCTTGCTATCTCAAAGTCCTGTTCCCAAATATTATTGCAACAGGATTTCCATACCTTTCTGAAGGCTGCCATTAGACACGACACCTTGCGATTGTCTTGACTGTCGATATCAGCACCAGCATGGACCAGTAGCTGGACTACGTCAAAGTGACCACCTGAAAAACGACAAGGGATTACTGAGGTTAGATTCAGGTTAATGACAGGTTTTGATTAATTCATATTTTTGGACTACGTCAAAGTGACCTCCTGAAAAAAAGATAGCGGAGTACAGAGGTTAGATTCAAGTCAATGGCATGTTTTAATTACCTTTTTTTTACCTATATTTTTTGCAAGAGTTAGGAAATTACTCTGTAGTTCTATAGGTCTTAAGACATATGCTCTGTCGATAATGACTTTGCCATCAAGATCCTTCACTGATTCATTCCTGAGCCAACCGTTATTCTATACTGAGACCCAATTACAATCCTAACCTTAGACATTATATCAAATAAAGCCCATATCACATGTTGCCGGAACAAATGGTTGGTCACCAATTTTCTCACCTTCCGCAAAAGAATAATTCGAACTTTAAATTCAAATCAGGAAGACTTAGGAAAGATCATGTAGGCTGGCAAACTATATGGCATATATAGTAAGGACCAATTCTAAACAATTACAACTCTAACTCTTTATCTATTATAAAATAAATAAAAGCCCATATCAAATATTGCGTCACAAGGAAGGCACAAGTGGCAGGGAATTCTACACACTCCGTCCCTAAACTACTTCACTTTCACAGAGAATGAGGTACATATTGATTCTATCTCAAAGCCAGGCGAGACGTTCCAGCATGGTCACTGACAGGTGGTTATCTCATCAAATCAGCTTCCAATTAACATAAGAAAAAGAGGATCATGGGGGACCAATGGTCACCGATTAGGCAATGTTTTCTGTATAGAGGGCGCATGTAGCTACAAGTAGTGCGGTGGGGCTTTAAATCAATCCTTTGCTTGTGCCACTCACCATTGCATGCTAGCCAGAGTGACGACTGCCCTTTCTTGTTCTTGACGTCCACTGCCGCCTTGTGCTGTAGCAGGAGCTCCACAAAGCGGTAGTGACCCTTGTCAGCTGCAATAGTCAGAGCCGTGTCTCTGGAAGAGGGCACCGGGGGCGCGTTGACGTCCGCCCCCTTGGAGATGAGCACCCTCCCCACGTCGGCGTAGCCACCCGAGGCTGCCTCCATGAGCGGGGTGAGACCCGTCTAGAAAGGGGGGAGGGGAAGGAAATGATCCATTAATGGCATCTTGAAGGAATACAGGGTCATCATCCTTTCTTATCAGTGACCATGTAACATAAATATTTAAGCATCTGATTCAAAGATGATAGTGCTTTTATGCTAGTCTACCATTTTACAAATCACATTTTATACCACAGAAATGGACTCAAATCAATGTAATGAATCTAGTCATTGCAGAATCTACTAAAAAACAATGATTTTGTAATGGCCCACAGGTTACCCACTCGAAATTGTATATGTTATTCCTCTGCACAGGTATGAATATATCAATTTACAAGCCAGGTTTATTAGCAGTCATGTAATTACCTTGGCTCTATGCTCTACGTTGGCCTTGCGATCGACGAGAAGGCTGACGACCTCGGTCCGACCTTGGAAGCAAGCCAGCGTGAGGGCGGTATTCCGGTTGGTCTCAATCTGGGCATTGATGTCACTGCCCATGTCCAATAAGAGTTTGACCGCTGCGGTGTGGCCGTTCATCGCCGCCAGCATGAGGGGCGAGATGCCCAGCTTACTGCCCGTTCTGCAAAAAAAACATGAGATCGAACATGATTCTAAACTTGTTTTTTAAATGCATGCGTTGTACAAGTACAGTCAAACCAGTCTATAGTAACTGCTCAATGGAAACACAAAAAGTGGTCTTTGTAGACAGGTTCCTTTAGTACATGTTTCAATGAGAAACCACTTTCAAGCGAAACAAAAAATGTGATCTTTGTAGACAGGTGGTCACCAAAGCATGTTCGACTATAATTCTAAATTCTGATATTACTCCATAGCTTGCTAGCACGATGAATGAGAAGTTGTGTGAAACCTTGACCATTGCCGCAATGTGCAAAACTGAATAATGATACAGGATGTGAAGTCATTTGAAAATACTTTCAAAAGATGATGGATTGGCCCATTAGATACCATGCCTGAGATTATTCATCCTGCAACGTACGGATTATCAAATCTATCTGAATTGTTCAACGAAGAATAAGATATCTTTAAATGGTTTATATGATATATCACTCTCATTCAGCATTTATGTGGTACTCTTTTGATTCCTTGAAAAATAAACTAATCCCTATCTAATCCATATCATCATCATTAGTGTCATCCTCTTCCTAATCTTTACTGACAAACAAACACCAATACATTGTAAGATCTCTCTCATAAATCATTGCCTGACCTGGGGGGCGTTTCACAAAGATCCTAAGTCAAACTTAACTCTAAGTTGTACATACAAATTATGGAGAACCATTTGTAGCCTTAAAATAAAATATATTCAAAAGCGAAAATTGAAGTATTTTAGATTTTTTATAAATTCCACAACAAGAACATGAAATCTCCTTGATAATAGAAAACATGAATGATTTGAATCAACATTTTATGCCTTTTAAAATAAGTTTCACAAAATATTTTAATAGATGCTAGTGGCTTTCCATAATTGTTAAGTCCAACTTAGAGATAAGTTCAACTTAGGATCTTTGTGAAACACCTACCTGGAGTTGATTTCTGCTCCGTATCTGAGAAGGAGTTTGATGATGTTGACGTAACCTCCGGACGCGGCCAGACTGAGAGGGGTGTAGTCGGATACGTTGCGATGCTCCTTGTTGGCATTGTGCGACAGTAGCAGCTCTACAACCTGTTGTTTCAGAAGAAGCATTCAATAACAAGTTAACAAATGTTTGCACATCAAAATATTACAGGTAGTTTTTTTTCTAAACATTTGAAATCTAGTTAAAAAAGAAATAATATAACCAATAATATACTATTTTCCCTTCTCTAATACAAATGAGGGAATTTTCCTTCTTCACATGGAACTTGAGCTGCTGCAAAGACATCGTCTACAAACAACAGCCTCACGCTACAGATTCACCTACTTTAAGACATTCTCACAAGTCACCATACAACTTGGGAGTTTTTATAAGCTGAGCTACAAAGCCGAGCTGCAAAGCTGAGCTTCAGAGAAGCTGAGCCTAAAGTACTACTAAACTATAAGGTTAGTGAATTCCATTATTTCATTCATTTATCTCCACCATCCTTCATCTATTGTAAGTTATATACTTAATATTAAAACCATGTTTTACTTCATTGGACTGTAGGTTAATGGAACTGACCTCATATCGTCCACCTGAGCAGGCTAGGGAGAGGGGTGTATCTTTGGTTCTCTCTGACTGGGCTTCAATGTCTGCATTGTGGTTGAGCAGGATCTGCACCGTCTTGTAATGGCCTGCGGTGGCGGCTAGGATGAGCGGCGTGAAACCTGGACGGAGGGAGAGAGAAACAAGGCAAGACAGGTGTGATTGCACTGATACATTTGTGTTTTTTTAACGTATTGCCTGCCTAACAATGCTTCAAAATGATCATGAAGTGCCTCAAAAAAGTAAAACTCTTTGAGTGACCAGTTTTACCATACTTATTTTCCACAATAGACTGTAGTGTTATAAAAACCGTTGGGAAAACAAATTTTTAAATGTTGATTTCCAATCATAAATATCTTGATAATCAGAAAGGCGATTGGCTTGTAAAAGTCATGCGGTTCCTCACTGACCTAAAGGTTTATAATTATGATTGCAACATGACATAAATCCAGAATTTTAAGGATATTACTCACCTTTTTTGTCCCGGTGCTCAATGTTGGCGTTCTTCTCCAGAAGCATCTGGACCAGGTCGTCGTGTCCCCCAGCGCAGGCGATGGTCAGCGCCGTGTCGTGATTGCTCTCCGTCTGGGCGTCGATCTCGACGGGCGGGTGCGGCGCGAAGTGGGCCTGGTCATAGCTTCCCGGCGAGGCAGGGGAGGGGACAAGGGCAGTCGTGGTGGTGGCTACCCCTGTGCCCAGGCCCCCCACCCCTGCTCCACCGGTGGTGAGCAGGAGAGGGGTAGGGACCGCCTGGTGATGGTGGGGGATGGAGGAGCGGTCGCACTGCGTGCCGACGGATTGGGTCTGGGGAGGGGGCTTCTTGGACTCGAGAGGTCTCTTATCAGAATCTGGAAATAAGAAGCACAGATGATAAGACACACTGTATCACAAGGAAGGGCTATCAGGAAGAATTGAAGTCTAGAATGCAAAATGGAAATGAAAGGTTATAGAAAAACTTGTTCAAAATCCAAGCAGTTTCATTCATTACATGAACCAGGAACCAGGTGGATCCTGTATGTAACTAAAGAGGAATGGAAATTCCACAAGTCACCCAATTAAAATGATGACATAACATGTACTATGCATTGAATACTCCATATAAATTTCAGGCAAGGGGGTGATTTTGCAGAAAATTATATTTTAAGAAGGATTGATAGGCCGAACGGGTTTAAAAACAGGGCAAAATAGGATTTATACAAGACACGTAAAAGATGCAAAGGATGAAATAAATATTGGGAGTTATTTTAAGTCATGATTTGCCCTTCTGCCAATTTATTTCAGAGCCCTTCTCTTTAGTCAGGTTATTTTTCAAATAATTTATTCTTATTGTGGAGAAGAAAAAGAAAATGAAATGTACTTTGTGCTCACCTCTATGAACTTCCCTGTAGCCATGTGGCATGACCATGGCCCCAGACATCCCTGTAATGTTATTGGCACTTGGCGTTATCTGCACGGCGCCACCGTTTAGCACAGCATGCCCGATGCCCGCTGCCGCCAGACTACTGGAATCCACCTGAGTACCAGACGACTCCTTGAGGAGGGTATGCACGTCTGGAAGAGGTGACGGTACAGAGGTTGAAGCGGGCGGGAGAGGGGTGTGTCCCGGAATGCCTGCTAGAGGCGAACTGAGAGCTGGGATATAAGATGACGCCGCCGGTGCCGGTACGGTAGGGCCGCAATTGCAGTTACTGCTTTGGTTGTACGACTCATAGGCAGGGGGTGCCACCGAAGCAGATGGTGGTGACTGGGATTCGCATCCCAGCGGCTCGTGTCTGACACCGGTCCCAAGGACATCAGCAGCATCTTCTCCACTACCCTTGTCTTCATGCTGGGAAGAGACGGAGGATACAATTCGGATATCCCTCGTATCGAGGGCCAAGTCGTCTTCGTTATCCCCGCTTTCCTCGCCGTCTGACACCGATGGAGGGAGTGGCTGTAGATGAGGTGGAACCTGAACCGCTGACTGCTTCTGGTTGCCCGACTGATTGCTATTGCTATCAGGGACACCGGCAATCAACGAGCTATCCGGTGGATCAACACCAGCAGCGCTATTTACTACCGAACTGACCCCAGTTTGGGAGGTTCCCACCGTGCTACTCGGTACAGTAACACCAGCAGGAAGCGACACCGGTAGGGTCAGCTTGGATGACTCTGCCTCATCCAGACCCTGCCCTGGGAGACCGACCGAAAACACCTTCTGCACTTCCATCCTCTGCTGCAGCTCCCGCTCCACCTTCTGGAGTTCTGCATAGATCTGCTGCTTCTCCAGAATCTGCTCCTCTGCGGTTCGCTGGTGGCCTTTGGCGTTGCCGACGACTCCCGCTGGTGAAATTGCCGCCGCATCCAACTTGGAGATGGCGGTGTCCGGTAGCGATGCGGAAGTCACGATGTTGGTGGGGGAGAAGCTGGATGGGATTGTCGTGTTGAAGATCCCTGTGGCATCCATGCTCTCTAGGGAGCTGGGTGCACCTGCCGGAGTGGTGATGGCGTTGGCAGAGGTGGAGGTTGTGGCGACGGTTGAGGAGCCGGCCATTCTTTGGTACAAGGCTTCATCGGGAGTGGAGGAGGATGGTACATCAGGGTTCTGCTGCTGCCCATGACCTAGGAGGGATGACCCTAAAAGAGGAAATGAATACAGATTACTGAGTATACAGTGTACTTCCTTTTAAAGATTTTGTAAATTTTAGTTTTTGTAAATTTTCTCTACTGTTTTCAAAGAGAATTCTGGACGTACCACCAAGTTCAACAAGATGTGCCTCCTCTGGATGCTTGTCCGGTTCCTGAGGAGGGACCACGATAGGAAGTGCCTGGGTCGGAACTCTGGACACCTGCAAAACAAATCAATAACATAAACAGTATGGTTATGGGTAGAAGGTATGGTTTCAAATGATTTTTTATCACAAGAGCTCTTTCAGGAGTTAAGGACAGTAGTGAATGCAAGATTTTGTGGTCAAACTATGATACTCCAAAGACCACCAGTCTAAAAAGAGACCTTCCTTTCAAATTTAACTAGAATAGTCTCTAAATACAGTTTCATAAGATTTTCTTTATCACAAGCTCTTTCAGGAGTAAGGGTAGTGATTGCAAGATTTTGCCGCAACAGCTGGATGTGTGGTCAACTATGACAACAAGTCTACAAACAGACTTTCTTTTCAAATTTAGCTAGGATAGTCTCAATATACAGGTTCGGCTATAGTAGTTTCATAATCCATCATCATCATCTCATCATCGTCATCTCAATCATTTTAGAGTGGCATCAGTAGATTAAAGCTCATCTGTACTAGTTTGGCCAGGGAGATTAGACCTCCCTGCAAGGTCACTGACAGGTGGTTATCTCATCGCTTCAGCTCTCAATTAACATAAGAAAAAGAGGATCACGGGGGATCGACAGGCATCGTTTGCTATACAGAGGGAGCAAGTAGCTATAAGTAGTGCAGTGGGGCTTTAATGTGTCGCCAAAGGACTTAGTGCACTCACCTCTCCCTGATCTGGGGTTGGAGGGGTAGCCATGCCCTCTGGATGCGCTATCATGTTGGTAGGGTACTCTAGCACCAGCACCATAACATCAGAATGGCCCCCCTTGGCAGACTCTATCAGACAGGTGGAGTTGTCCTGTAAAGAGAAAAATCAAATGACCAGGTTGATTACTGAGGATGGATGGGGAAAGATCAAGGGAAAGAGAAAGTCAGGAAGAAAGAGGTGTAGAGTTGTTTCTCCCATTCTCTTTCCCAAAAGTGCTTTAAACAAAACAAATACAAACAAAGCAAACAGAACCCCCTCTCTCTCCCTCCCCTCCCCCTCCCACAACAACAACAAATAATCCTCAAAAAACAATTCTAAATTTTGCAGCATTACAATATAAAGTTACTTTCATTAATTTTCAATCCAAGTTTTAAAGTATTTCAGTTTTGGAACTCTTGCAAGAAGAATTGCAACCCTCACGAGCTTCCACAAAACCCAATATCGTTATCTTTTTATAACTTGTTCAAATTAAATTAATTAAAGCAACGCAAAGCAGTACGGAGAAATCTAGGGCGAGTCCATGGTATACTTCCTGTGTCCCATGCATTACTAGGTAGCATAGCAAAAGGAAAATAATAAACATTGATGGAAACTATCATTTTTCCTTGATATTTGGTCTGATTCCAGCTAAAATAAGGCTATGAAATTAATGCAATTATTGGGTGTTCTGAAATCTTTGATGTGGTCGGTAAAAAAAGAGAGGAAAACCTTTGATTTTCCCTAAACGAGATGGTAACTAACCTTGAGTTTATGGGAGGGGTCAGCGTTGTGGGCCAGTAGGAGTTCAACGACCTTGAGATGACCTCCAGCACAAGCCAGAGAAAGCACCGTATGGTCATTGTTGGTTGTTGCTTTGTTCACATCCGCACCTGAAGTAGGTAAAAATAAATAAAACAGAACAAGGTTTTAATAGAAAGTTGTTTTTAAATTGCTTTCTCTATTCGAAAGTCACTGTGAGTTCAAGTTCTTTTTAATAAAGAGTTGATAAAGAGTTAGAGGAACCCTTGTTTAGTGGTCCACCTGCATATCCCAAAGAGCTTTGTCAGGAGAATAGACCCAATGGTCACAGAGATTTATTTTTATTTTTCCATCCCGGAAACATTATTAATGATAGTGATACAGCGAAACCCGTCTTTAAAGACTAACCCAAGGTGACAAGAAAAGTGGTCTTTGTAGACAGGTTCCTTCAGTACATGTTTCAATGAGAAAACCATTTTCAAAGGAAACAAAAAATGTGGTCTTTGAAGACAGGTGGTCGCTAAACCAGGGCCCCCGCCTTACATAGAGTTACGATTGATTCAAATCAATCATAAGTTCTTCAATCAATCGCAAGTTTGCAGTCTCCTATCTTTTATGTACATAGATACGATTGATATCAACTCTTTGTAAGACGGGGCCCAGGTTTGACTGTACTAGCAATGTGAACTCACCCTTGCTGATGAGGTACTGCACGGTGCACAGGTGGCCCGCCCTGGCTGCCTTCATGAGCGGTGTACGTCCCCCTTCCGACTCGTGCTCCTGCAGGGCAAGAGTTTGATGTTCCTGTAAGTTTTTTTTATGGGGAAACCATAAACCTTGGGTTGCCTTCTTGGTTATGTTGTTAGGATTAATATTATCTACCCTGACTATACATCGTAAAGAATGTGTGAATTATATGCATATAACTATGTATCATTAATGCCACTTAATGATTATGTAACTATATTGCACATGACTACTGTAACTTAAAGAACTACAATACTTGTATATCATATAACTATGTCACTTTATTTCCCTCACAAATTCCATAGACTGTTTCCTATTCAATTACTTAAACATCAGAAGTTTAGATTAGCAGATTTGATGGGGTATATATTACATTAATTGCAACATTTCCCATAATCAAAATCTAAAAATTGATTACGCCGCTGATCAAAAGCTCAATGACAAATTCTATTCATTTTGAATGAAAGATTATTATCCCTTTAACGATCAAAATACAATGAAAGTCAATGGACTGAATTCAATGGACTGAAGATATACTGAACATTAATCATTTCATTAGCTTTCAATAACTACACATTCATAAAAAAGAACAATTTGTTTAGACCAGTATTATTTGGTATTTGTTTGGGGTAGAATGAAAGGGAAGAAGCTTACCAAGTCTGCTCCATTGGCTAAGAGAACGTCAGCGACATCGGTGTGTCCGTTCTCACAGGCGTAGGTGAGGGCCGTGTCTCCTGTGGCCGTCTGAGCATGGACAATGGCACCTAAGTAAAAAAGAATAACAAAATTAATAAAAATTAATGAAAAAATATCATTTTATCAATTTACAATCAACTATTGGTTTGTGTTTAATTTCCTGCATTATCCAATTTCTTAGCTTAAACCCTCAGCAAAACACCACAGATTTTGATTAATATATAGTTTCCAAACCAATAATAAGCAAACGAAAATAGTTCCACAAGGCAAAAACAGGCTCAATTTTTAAATTCTTCTGTCTATTTCTTAAATTGCAATATAAGGCAATTACTATGCAAAGTTAGTTGTTATTTATGAATGCAAATAGAACATGCATAGATTGTCATGTTTGTCACAACTGTTTGAACGTTTTAGAAATGAAATTAATAAATTAACCAAGATGAAATTGAACTAAACTGAACTTTACACTAACCCTAAACATAGCCTAAAACCCAATTGCAACTCTTAACCTAACCCTAACATCTACATCATTGGAAAAATAAAGAAAAAAAGTGAAATAATGCCTGTAGGAACAATCTCTGAAACTAATGTTGGGTCAGCAATCATACTGGCCTTACCTTTGCTAAGGAGGAACTTGACCAGATCGACATGGCCCTCCTGCGCAGCCTCCATGAGAGGGGTGGAGCAGCCCAGCTCGATGTCGGCCCCCACCTCGATGAGGAACTTTGCGACCTCCAGGAAGCCTCCGCAGCAGGCCAACGTCAGAGCAGTCTCCTGGGTCTCCTCGGTCTGGGCGTTGATGTTTGCACCTGTGACCAGAAACAAAACAAAAATGGAATTTAAAGCCAATCTGCACTAGTTTGGCCACGGGTGATTAGACCTTCCTGCATAGTCACTGACAGGTGGTTATCTCATCAAATCAACTCTCAATTAACATAAGAAAAAGAGGTTCATGGGGACCAACAGGCACGATAAGGCATTGTTTGCTATATAGAGGGTGCACGTAGCTATAAGTAGTGCAGTAGGGCTTTAAGTGGACCACAAAACCTCTATACCTTTGATAGAATATCTATAAGTGCTTTAATTTAATTTACCTTGCGCAAGAAGCAGAGCCACCATCTCCTCATGCCCTTCCCTGGCGGCCTCCATGAGGGGGGTGTACCCCTCATCATTGACCTCCTCGATGTTGGCTCCCCTCTCGATCAGCAGGGAGGCCAGTTTGACATGACCTCCACAGGCTGCCAGGGTCAAGGGTGACTCAAAGCTATCAGCCGGCATGTTGACCTAGAGATGGGAGACAAAGGAAAATCGATGACCTTTATGTGTAATGACTTCAAACAAGATGGCTTCAATTCTTATGCCGCACTTGGTAAACAGCAGCATTACTAATCAAATCCATTTCAACTCTAAATATGAAAATGATTGTCTATAACTAGACATTTTTGATGGCGTGAAGGCATATAAATAGTCAATATCATAATTATATCTACACTCATATTTACAATGCATGTAATACTCAATTAACTTGTTGCCTGAGAATCACCCAACATAAATGCACAAATCAGGAAGAACAAGAATAAGTTAAAGTCTGCTTCCAGTGCCAATCGAACTGATGACAATACCGTTCACATTAGCTCGTGTCTCAACTTGTCGCTCTTCTACGCCTAATGTGAAAGGGATGTAAATCCTACCTGGGCACCGTGGTCGAGCAGGAGTCTGGCGACCTCTACGTGTCCGTCCATGGAGGCCTCCATGAGGGCAGTGTGCATCTCGTCGGTCTTGTGCTCGTGGTCAGCACCAGCCTCCAACAGGAACTTCACCATCTCAAGATGACCTGCAGGTCAAAGGTCAACAAGAGGTCCAATAAACAACATTGTATAGTCTGATTATTGAAATACAATTATTTGTAACAGGTGAATGAAATAATATGTAACATAGTACCAGAGATATGTGTATTCAATTTAATTACAATATGAAAATGGTCTATTGGATGTACTTGTTTTATCATGCAACATACATAAAAGAGGTTGATATTTAAAATCGCAATTCTCTTACTTTACTAATAGAAAAGGCGGCTTTAGCCCGTCAAATTCTAACGCAATAAAATTATTGGTCAAGATAACACGGCACAATGAGTTAACTTCTATATGACAAAGTCAAAGGTCTTTGCCCATAAATGTGTCTGCACCAATACTACCAAAATATGATGAATGCATCGACTAATGTAAGCTCTATATACTGATAGAAATGAGTTCTAATCAGATCCTCGTAGGAAGTAGCATATCTTGTTTCATACGTCTAAGAGAATGAACATCCCCAAGTTCCCCATTTTAGCATTAAACTGCAAAATGATAATTATTTATTCATAAACCACAATTTTTTTTCTTGACAGAGAGTTCTTAAAATAGCCCGAAACATTTCCTACTTTCGACTTCCTGTCTAATTGCTCTAAAAAAAGGATGTCGAAAAAAGAGGGAAGAGGGGTTCGTGTAATATGACCTAGATTCCCTGTCGAGGTAGTAACAACTAGAGTACAAAATTGATTACACAAGATTAGTTTATATCCTAACTTTCTCCTTTTCTATAGTTATTTCTATATATACAGTTTGTTAAAGTATGGAGTATGGAACTTTTTACAGCTGTTTTCAGTCTTTCTGTTGCATTGCAAAAGAAATATAAATTCTTCTTTCATTTCCCCTCCTTATCGCTAGATATCTACATGAATGTTATTCAATAATGTCACTTCCTTCCTTGAAAGTTTCACTTTCATATAAGGGGATTTCTTTCCACTCCCTGTTGCTTTCATTCCATGAAAAAGTGTGCATAATTTCAGGTATCCATTGCATCTGTATTGTTTTTTAAGAGTTTTCGAGGATTAGTAAATGAGAGAAATTATCAACTTTCTCAGGTAAGCATTTAGCATGCAAAGGTCACAAAATCCCTATTCCTACATATGGTCTATATGGGGTGTGTCCATAAACCCATTCCTAGAAATTCGGTAATGCTATCTTCCACCCCACCCCACTCCACTTGCCAAATCCTCCCCTATTTGTAAAATGCTAATAAGAGGTCCTTCACATCCTCCTGCCCCAATCTCCCACTATCTTTCCTTTTATAATATGCTAATGTGAGGGTGTTCACCTAAAATTCATTCAAATTCGCAAAGATAACCCCCCCCCCCCCTTCCATCTTTCTCCTACAATCCTTAAGCATGCTAATGTGAAGACACTCTCCTTCAATTCATTAGAATGCGTGTTGATACCAGCACCCTTCTCCAGAAGGATAAAGACTTTCCCCCTCTCCTCCCAACCCCCTTCCCCCCCCCCCCCAACCCCTTCACAACCCCTCCTCCACAATCTCCCACAACCCTTACCTTTATAGCACGCTAATGTGAGGGCACTCTCCTTGAATTCATTGGAATGCGTGTTGATACTAGCACCCTTCTACGGTAGGATCCAAACTTTCTCCCTCTCCTCCAAACCCTCTTCTCCTACCAACCCTCTCCCCCTACCCCTCCAAACCCCTTCTCAACCCCTCCTCCACAATCTCCCACAACCCTTACCTTTATAGTGCATCATCCTAGAGCCCTGCACCTAATTGTTCTTTGAGGGTGCAGGGTGTATTCTTGATGCCATAGCAAAGTTTCCCGATTCTTTCAAAGGTCTTGTCCTGAATATTGTGTATAAGGCCTTCAGAGTCTTGGCAACAGATATTGTCATTTTTAAGGGTTTTGTAAAAAAATTAGAGAAAGAAAAGAAAACAAGAGAATGGTAAGAAAAAAAGAAGAAAAAAAACCTTACCTTTATAGCATGCTAATGTCAGGGCACTCTCCTTGAATTCATTGGAATGCGTGTTGATACCGGCACCCTTCTCCAGGAGGATCTTGGCAATGTTGACATGACCGCTGCTTGCGGCCTCCATCAGAGGGGTGTGGCCGTTCTCGTTGTGGTCCTCGATGTTGGCACCCTGATCGAGAAGGATCTTGACGATCTCCTCATGTCCGCCATTGCAGGCATACATCAATGGGGTATTACCTAGGAGACCATTCATTACAAAAATTAAAAAATAGCTAACTCTGTGTGATTGGAGTTCAATGCTGGCATCCTATATTGGAAACATCAGCTTTTTAAAGATTACTTCTGTAAAAAGAAATATTGCAAGTTTAAGACTGAACTCAGTCCTACTAAAGGTAAACAATCCTGGTTAGTGGACAAGTCAATAAACTTGCATAGAATTGGCAGGCTGAGAGGCAAATTTTTCTTCAGGTTGTACTTCTTTTAAAGAGCACTCAAGGAGTCTGAATTTTCAGAGTACCTTAATACCCTGAGCAGTTAATGAAGTTCTACTAAAAGAATCCCTAAAAAACAGTTTATAAGCAATGTACATTCACAGTATTTTTCTAAGCTAATTGCATACGTGGTTGCTTCTGATATTTTTCAAAGTCTGCACACAGCAAACCTGTAGGCCTATCAAGAAATACCCCCCAGTCTCTCTCGGAGAGTTTTCCGGATGAGGGAAAAGTGAGATATTGACTTTACCATATAAGGGAAAGGATGGGAAATGTAATACATGATATAAGGCCTGTTGGACATAAAACTGAAGGCTAATCCTGGTGATTGACAACACATGTTACTAGGTTAACACCTGAAAGGTGTGTCTAATACCCCGTGAGATCCCACTTCTATGCATCTTTAAAGGCTGTCTGTACTAGTTTGGCTAGGAGGGATTAGACCACCCCGGTGGTCACTGACAGGTGGCTATCTCATCAACTCAGCTCTCAATTAACATAAGAACAAGGGGATCATGAGGGACCAATGGTCACCGATTAGGCATTGTTTCTATACAGAGGGAGCTAGTAGCTACAAGTAGTACAGTGGGGCTTTAAATCTCACCTGCACTGGATTGAGCATTGGCGTCTGCACCATACTCCAGGAGCAGCTTGACGATGTCCACATGGCCAGCACTGGCGGCCTCCATCAGCGGGGTACAGTCACCTTTACTACCCCGGTCCTCCACGTTGGCATTCATCTTCAGAAGCACCTGAACGTTAGGAGTATAAAGGTGTCATTCATTATTTCAGAATTCTTTATTTGCATATTAAATATATGAGCAAGTGCATCATATTTGGTCCCCTATATTACCAACCACATCGTAGAGTTCAGTACTCCTGGGGGTTGTTTCATAAAGATCCCAAGTTGAACTTATCTCTAAGTTGGACTTAACAATTATGGAAAGCCATTAGCAACATTGAAAATATTTTGTAAAAGTTATTTCAAAGAGCATAAAATGTTAATTCACATCATTTCCAATTTCTATTATCAAGGAGATTTCATGTTCTTGATGTGGAATTTATGAAAAGTCTAAATACTTCAATTTTTGCTTTGGGAAATATTTAAATTTATGGCTACAAATGGCTCTCCATAATTTTTAAGTCCAACTTAAGTTAAGTTTGACTTAGGATCTTTGTGAAACATCCCCTGTTCAAAGCCTTACAAGAGGGTGGATCAGACCAAGTATCAAGTAAAATGATACTTTTGATAGCTTTCTGATAAAGAGTTGATATTAATTGAACTTTATATCAATTGCAACGATGTACTTAAGAGGTAGGGGACCGCAAACTTGCGATTGATAAGAGGACGTATGATTGATTTGGATCAATCGCAAGTCTTTATAAGACAGGGGTGATATTCTGTTACATATGAAAAACCAATAAAATGATGAGTAGATTTTAAAGAGCTTATACAAACAATAATGACCATGTTTCTGTCTCATTGTAGGTACAATAATATAAAGGAAACCGTCTGCTCTAAAATGACACAAATATGACTGACTGAAATGATTTTGAGATACTTCACCCCTCGGGTATAGAGTACCGAAGCTGTGACGTCATGAAAATCTATTTTTGGGGAATTTCTCAATTTGAACTGTTATTTTGCTCTGTTTAATAATATTACCAACCAGAGCAAAATAACAGTGATTTCCTATTGAAATCTATTTATTTGGATCATCATATCTCAGCCAATACTTAAGATATTCAATTGGTTTTCAACATTTTTACATTATTTTTGATGCTCTTTCGAACAATAAAGTTCTAATTTGGAAACTCTAAAAATAGTTTTTTGATGACATCCCACTTGACCACTCTATAGCACTATTACTCACATGAGCAAGTTCAAAGTAGCCCCCTGAGCACGCTAGCGATAGGAGACTCTCGCCCTCTTCGTTGGTTTCTTGGATCATCTTATCATCGTCTCCTCTCCTGGCAGCCACTGGGTCGGCAGAGGAGGCAGCAGCACCAGCAACACCGGCAACTTGCAGTCTGAAAGAATCAAAAGGACAATAAAATAATAATAATATGAATATTTATATAGCACCGGTATCCGCCAGTCTCTGACGCTCATGGCTCTTTACACATATTACCCTGGTTGTAGCCGAGCTGCCAAAGTAACTAGCGCTCAAGCATATCAGGTACCCATTTACACCTGGGTGGAGAGTGGCAAATGTAGATTAACGTCTTGCCAAAGGACATTAGTACCGCGGCAGGACTTGAGCCCCGTACCTTGTGATCTGCAGTCGGGTAACTAATCCACTAGACCACGACACCTCTACAATGGCTTTGAATGTTTTAGGTTGTGTGTTTACTAACATGTATCATTAAATCATGATTGAGTCAATACAGCATGTCTTTTGTTTTGATCAATCACCATAAACTGCCTTGCCACTAGATCAGTATCAAAATATAAACATTTATGTTTGACATTTTTTTGTTTCAGTATCACTTTATTGACATTCATGATTATAAACAAATGAGTAACATGTAATAGTATATACATTACACTTAGATTCAAAACAAATATATGTACAAGTAGATTACAGAAAAAGCCCAGGTCATGTTTTATTATAAATAATGCAAGGCTAATATGTCATATTATTTATGATGGAATGCTTGATATACAATGTACACCGATGTTAACAGACAAGTTTAACACGTCGTATGTTTGGGGTCACAAGGGCATTAACTCTGTGTTAAAGCTTATAGTTACCAATTAATGTACAAGTATGGTTATGGATGTAATAGTTGTGCTTTGTAGCCTCTTAGAGCATCCATTGGATAGACATGTGTGCATGCATTATAAATACAGTGCTCATTAGCATTATTCACATGTATGTGTGTGTCATAATGTAATGAGAATGCTTAGTAGATGCCTTGAGTATGCCTTGAGATTGTGAATGTATCACCTCCACATGTTGCCATAGAAACAAGGCAATGAAACAAACATCTAGTATCACCTGGCCTTACTTTCCATAATGAAAAAAGTGTTGCTATATATTGTTTAAACAATATGCATCGTGTGTACATAACAGACACATCATCCACTTGCACTGTACTCGCAGTTTGTTGGTTTGCATGTAAATCCAATGTATGTAGCTTATATACATGTACATTTCATTGGTCTGTGTTATTTACCATAATGCTTTCACCTTTTGGTTTGCTTTGTTTTGGTACCCCATAATGTCATTCAAATAACAACCATCTTGTCAAGTAATCTCTTCAATAGACGCTCATGAAAAACATGAATAAATTTTAAAATTCAAATTGAGCAGGGTTGAGAGAAGATTTGGATTTTAAAGCAAATCGAGCTAAAGGAGAGAGAGAAAAAATATTATGGTTTATCATTTATTCATCTATTTAAAAAATATTCATCAGTTAAAAACGAATCAATTGCAGCCAATGGGCAGAACTGCAGATTTTTCTTTCAAATAATAACATAATATCAATGATAAATGACACAAAAGAAACATGAGATTATGTATTTAATGTAGGTTCTACATAAAAGGGACTTCCTTTCCTCCATGTAGCCTACAATAAGGGAATTTGTATGTAGTTTGTACAGCACTGGGAAGCCTGAGGCACCAGTTACTCAGCAAATGAAATATAATTAACCTACATCCAACTAATAAAACAGAGCAACCAAACAGAAGTACATGTAATGAACATTGCACGACAGAACTCCACTGTGCATGTACAGTACAGACTATGTAAGCATATTTAAATTTTACAGCTAAGGAAAAAAACATCATTAGACCAAGTTCCTTTTATAGGGATAGTACATGTTTATCACACATGTTACTAACAAAATATATTTCTTGTATCTCTTTAGAGAATGACAGAATTATTAAACCAATTTTACCTGGCTTATATGGTATTTATATTTAATTCTTACTACAACATGATATTTTCAGAAACCTTCCCTTTTAAAATTCTTTCTTTCTCTCTTTGAAAAATTGATAAAATATTAATGAAATGTTACCTTGCTATCATGGTACTTTATTTACTTCTTTCCAAGAATATAACATTATCAGAAACCATTCTGTTTCATAATCCCTTCTGTGGCTGTGTAATTCATTCAGAAATCTGCTTGGAGCTGAAGCCATGTTGGTTTGTACTTTGTACATGTACCAGGGATGCCAACCTTTCAGAGCACAAATCAGTAATCATAAGGCTAAAAATCAGTAATTTGGAGACAAAATCAGTAATTTTCTGCGCGACGCAAATTTTTCTGCACGCTGGCAAGCGCAGCTCCCGCAGGCAAGCGCGATAGCACAACAAGTTAAATAAAAGTAACATACCTGTTCATTAGTTGGTGTTACATGTGCATGTAACTCCATATTGAAAGTATTCTACTGAAAGACTGGATGAACTCATGACAAAATGTCTTGATATGTTACTATAGTAGGCACATTCATGGGGCACTAGAGGGCGCTTCGCGAGCGTACGAAAATCTGAATGGCCTTGCTGCGGTGGGTCGGCAATAATCAGCCCAAAACTTGGATATGGGAGGGTGGAAGGATATATCTTTTTTTATAATGTTATCCGGTCTTACCCCTAACCATCCTATGTTTAATCTATGTAGAAATAACATGCGAGTACGATATGATAAGAGAAACATCGGGCCCATTACTGATGCAACTTTTTAAATATTAGCCTAGAAATGACCACCAAACGGAAAAAAATGACATTTTTTTTCCGACAAATCTTCATAAAATCTGAGTTATAAACAACTCACAACTAGGCTCGGTAATGCAAATACGATTTTCTGAAAATTCAGGTGTGATTTTTGAAGTTTCTTTCAAGTATATTTCTGCGCATCGCAGCGCAAATTTTCTTCACTGCTTTCAAAATCACCCTTGAAATTTTTTTTTGCAACGAATTTGATACGGGGTACGCGAGTGTTCCCCGTTCCTTGCGTGTTGAAAGTTTGGTAATACCAGGGAGGTGAGACTTTAACTCACATGCCCTGGTAATACAAAGTTTGCATTGACTCGCGCACGAAAAAATGGCTCGAAAACAAATGTCAAAACGAGAAATAAACAAGCTTTTGTATAGTTATAAGAGAACTACCGAGGTTTCTTTGTCGATATAATGTATTATATAGTCTCAATTAGAATTCAGAATTATCTCACTGAAACCGACGATGTTCTCGATCGTAGTTATTTTCACTTTGCCAGCAGACGTTCTAGCGTGGTTTTGGCAAAAAGCTAGCCCGCCACCTTTCCACCTCGAACCTTTCGAGTTTCGCTAAAATTGTGCGCTGCGGAGCTCCGAGGGTGCGTTGGTATCGCTGGCAAACTCTCGGGCGGCTAGCTCCCCACGACGGACCATTCGCGGTATTGGGAGAGTGTGTGTGTGAGATACGATTTTGGATTCGAGAACGCACGTAATTGTCTGATGTGTTTTCAAGTCAATTTCTTGAATATATTTTTTTGCATGAATTTGCCTAACTATAGTCTTTTGCCCCGCCATGTCCAATGTTGAAATCTGATGCACATATCGTGCACCTAGCATGATTCAGGCTTTTCTTTGAAGGAACCAGTCATTTCCATTTCTTACTGTATTCTTCTTTAAAAGTATGTAACTTCTTGCCATGCTTCTTAGTTGTGGAAGACATGATGATTGAAATCTAAATCCAACCAACATGAGTTCAGATTGTCGACGAAAATTGACGAACGCTGTGACAGCCTGTGAGAAATCCGACAGTGTACACGGCGCTAGCGTAGCGAGGCCTGGCGCTGGCCGCGCGGTAGCGGCGCGGCCAAGAGAGGTATTTCACCCGGCCCCCGCTCGCGAAGCTGTCTTTCTCTGCTGGGTACACACGCACACAGTCAGAATATACAAAGACACACATGTATGCACCTGCACTGTGAAAGGGGTGTGCTAGATAACAAATTGTCCAATCGGAAGCCCTATGGGATTTCTATGCATGGATTCAAGGATGGCTGCGCTGCAATAGTCAAAAGTATGTGCTAAACCTTAAAGTGCTAATTTTGAAAATCGGCAAAATCGGCAAAATCCGGGATTTATGGTATGAAAATCGTACCGCCCGTAATCGGCCGATTTCCCGTAGAAATTACGGGAAATCCGTACTAGTTGGCATCTCTGATGTACATGTATGTCAGTCATCTGACTGGTTTTATATTTAACCCACATATCAAGGATACCCACTAATCACAGCCCAAATACCATGTACAGAGTCAATGACATTCTGGGCTTGTTGTAACAAAATCAGAGTATACTCCATCTGACATTTTCGTTTCTGCTATCAAACTGCTCAAAAAATCAACACAATGGCATGAATATTTCTATTTAAATTAAATGTCAACACCACAACACATGCTAATGAAATGTATCATAAAGCAATGCCATAGGAGTCTGATGCAAGTACTGAATTAGCATGAGGATTGTTACAAAATATTTCTCTGAAAAGATGAATACTGCTTGGAGTTATAAAGAATCAAAATATAATAACACTGACACTGACACTGAACTATCATTCCAGTATTTATGGCTATTCTATTCTAGCTGAAATATTATGTTCCCTTCTAGGACCTTTTTCTTGTCTCTCTTCACTCTGATATCAGAAATACATGTACATGTACAGGTGACTACTCACATATTTTGTTTTCAAACAGCTTTGGAAATTAAGGGGAACCGATATGTTTCTCCTCCGTTTCTGAGTAGAAATTAAGTTTTATACATCTCATCCAACCATGATAATCATGCTATAAATATATACACTTCTATTCCCCCCATCCCTCAATCATTTTTTGTTGTTGATGCATTTGTTTTCTTAGAATGAAAGGGGCGGGGGAGGGGCATTTGGAGACATCAATCTGCAGTCCATATGGATGATTTTCAAGACATCTTTGTGACTTGTTCATATAGAATTTGAAATATATTTTGACATCCCTAAGTATAGGCCTATATCATGTCATATACTCATTCATAAAAATATTGGGGGGTGGGGGGGGGGGGGTTCC